AAGCATGGTTAGGATAGGAGTTGTTTGAAATGGGAAAGGGAGTCAATTCTGACTAAGTTGAAAGAATTTTGATCTTGTATTGGATTTGAATCCTGACTACCCAATTATAGGCTGATTCATTTCTCCCCTGGACATTTTTAATTTCTAAAATTATTTTTATTTCTATTTACCTTTTAGGATTTTTATAATATGCTGAAATAACTCTGTTAAGTATGAAATATTTTGTTAGTGTACGGTGATGAAATGGCAGCACAATGACAGGCCTAACCCAGAGCCAACTCCTCATTTTCTCTCTTTGAAACAGTCAAGCTAATGCTGAAGGCCATCAACCATGTAGCTGGGAAATAAGGTCAAGTGACTTAATGAAAGGTAACTTAGAAATTACCTTTCATTCACTGAAAATTTTTAATTGACAAAATATATGACAGGCAATGTTTTCTGTCTGGCCAGTTACGATGTCTATATCCCAAGGGAAATCTAACCTCCAGTGGATGACAGAAATTTTTCTGGGCCTTTTTTTCCCTCCTGGGAAGAATATGATATTTTTAGTAACCTAAGTCATCACTTGTGCTTCCTGCAGTATTAGAACACATTATTCTCTCACAAGCCAAGTGTCTTTAAAGGAGTAACTACTAAAGAAGGCTGTTTTTATCTCTATGACTTATCTTTTTGAAGTCAGTTTTGAAGTCATTTGCATACCTAGGACCAACTATTAATAAGTAGTTCTCTCCTGAATAATACTTACAAGATGATTGAGTAAAGCAGTTGCCATCCAACCCAGGGTCTAGTAGACATGCCAGGTTCAAGCCTAATTATACCACTTTTGTTTATAATTGAGGGTATATCAAGTAATGGCATTTCAGTTTGTAAGGTGTGTAATTTTCTCTGTGGAAAGGAAGGGCAAGCATTTCCCATACAATATGTGAGGGTTTCACTCTAGTCACCCTTGTCACACACCCTGTCATCCCAGACGCTGTCCATCAATGAGGAATTTCCCACTGGGAAAGGAAGGGAAACATCAGTGCTGCTCAAACAACGGTTTCATTGCTCTGGAAGGAACTTGACCCCAGATACTTAAAATGAGAAAAGAGATATTGGACTAGGTATTCAGGGTCCAGAAGTTCTAAGAAAGATAAGTGCCTTTTATTAAAAAAAAAAAAAAAGGAAAAACATCACAAAAAAGAAAAACATCACAAATCTCAAGAATTATAAAATACTTCCAGGGCAAGATTTTTCTCCTACAATTCTATGGGTAGCTATTATTGAGAACACTATAATAAAGTTATAGATTATGGCATGGTACTGATAGCTGATATCTTTTGGAATAGAAAACTTTTCCTGGGTAAAATTCCCACTATGGGCTCTGCAGGAATTTGAAAGCAAAAATATAAATTTTTTCACTTCTCTTAAAATATGTATAGTAATTCCTTAGTCAATTATGTCAATAAAAAACAATGAGGTGAGATTTGTTTCCATGTAATATTTAGGGTGATGAGGACATTGCTACTTTCTATAATAAGCAGTACTGAAACCAATCACTTAACACTACTAGGTAGTCTGTTAAAAAGCAAATAAGGTAAGTTACTCTTGCTCTCCATCATTTCATTTCTGAAAATTTACTTGAAAATAAAAACAAATTTCTGTTCCATGTGTTAGAATAGTTTTGTCTGAGAGCTGAATTGTTAAGTGGCTGGGTTCATTCTAAATATATTTTTAAATTTGATGCCTTCCTTCAACTTAACATGATAAAAAAACCTGCGTAGTCAACCAGCTATGTTCTTTACTTTCCAAGATTCGGAATAATTAAATGAAATGTTTACTTCTATGTAGCATAAAAGGTCACCATCTGTGGACAAAAATTATCTGTTAAATGCTTGTTTTTATGATCTTATCAACTGAATAAAATACAGGCCTTATTCAGCTAATAACTATTCTTTTGTAAATAATTCCTTCCTACTAAAATTCATAAATCCATAACAATACATAAATAATTATTATCCAGCCAAATTATGAAAACAATATTCATGATCCAAGCATGAACTTCTACTGTGTAATTATTCAGTAGAGATAAATATGGAATTATAGAATTTCTACAGTGGAAAAAATCATAGTGACATCAAATCTAACTACACAATCTCCCATGGGTTATAATAAAGTCCAGAGCAGTTGGGTGCTGTTGCCAGAGTTACACAGATGCGTTGAAAGGGAGCTGTGACTCAAAACTTGGACATCTAAGTCTCACTTAAGTATTGACTGTACCTTACCATCTACCTCCATTTTATAGCAGAACATGATGAACATCCTTAGGAAGAAAATGCCAAAGATTCGTGTGATAAAATGAAACACCCTACTGGAACCTAGGGTTTTGCATACCTTTTATTGGCTAAGTCAGTCAAAGCTTTGTTCAAAGCACTCTCTGTGGTTAAGACACAGCCGACACAAAGTACCCTAAGTCTCTGAGAGGACGCCACACCCTCATTAGTACAGGCTGCAATGATGCCCCAGAGAGTCTTTGATTTAGTTAATGAAAAAGGGGCAGAGTTCAGGAAATTAAAGACAAGTAGGCACGCCTATGCGTATTTTCCTATAATATCTAAAATATTATATTCATTCTCCTAGAACTTATATTTGCTTCAATCCAGAAATAATCTATTTCCCACTTCCAGATATTATTAACTGATGTCTTAAGGGATATTTTAGAAATGCATAAGAACTTAAGTTTATCAAAGCAACTAAGAAATGTCAAACACAACTACTCTAATAGTACCGGTGAGAAGTAGGAAAGAAATAAGTATCAGAACTACTAAGGTCACGGAGGAGAATCAATCAATGCAGCCAAAAACAGAGCCTGAGAAACTAAAATACAATACTCTTTCAAGATCAAGGAGAAGAATGAACTCTTCAATTAAATAATATTATCATAAAACCTGCCTGTACAGAAAGCAACAGGAGGCAGAATCTAGTGCTTAGAAGCTGCTTCTGAAATCTTGACACGTGCAGTTTTCTTAGCAGAAACCACAACGTTCATCAGAGTGAAAGCGTGAAGGCTCTTCCCAGCCGTGTAACCATGCTACATACCGATCATTTGCTAATTCTACTAAAGCCTGAGGAGGAGTCTTCTCTCTTCCTGTAATAGAATTTATTTTATTTAGTAAATAAATGATTATCGTAATAGGGTTTTTGTACTTTTACCTGGTATTTTGGGGTTTTAAAATATTTTTTCCAAAATGGTCCTGTTTAATTATCTGCCTCCTAAGCACAGGGGATGGGATGTTCTACACTGTTCTCAGGTTCCCTTTCAGGCTTGGGGTGGTGCCCTTTGGCAGTGCTGAGCTCCTGCACTACTTCTGGAAACACGGACCGCAGAAGAAAGGCACTTGTTGTGCCCACTGGACAACAATGCGCTCCAATCCCTCCCAGCGCTGGCTGCCCTCTGTCTCTGGCACTGATGTGCAGATGAGTCCAGGATAATGTGCTTGCCTCAGAACAGGACGGGAATGATTTTCCACGCTTGTGTCCTAGCACACTGTGGGCACTCCTCCGTAGTGAGGTGCAGTCAACTATAGGGTACTTGTGTTTATATGCTTTCAAAAATGTACAGTTTCCTCGAAAATGAATCTTGATGTGAATGGAAGGGGAGAGGGAGTGGGAAAGGGGAGGGATGCGGGTGGGAGAGACGGTATGGGGGGGAAGCCATTGTAATCCATAAGCTGTACTTTGGAAATTTATATTCATTAAATAAAAGTTAAAAAAAATGTACAGTTTCCTAATAATACCCTCTTCTTACCTTTTCTTTATTTTTTCTCAGTTGCTCTGATGGAATTGTTCTATCATATGATCACAAGTAGACTTAAATCTAATGAAATATAAACCATCTTAAATTGATCCTATTTTTTATTTTTTCTTAATTGATTCTTTAAATAAACTTTTCTATTTTTTTTAATTTAAGGGAGAGAAAGCATGAGAGAGTACTCCCATCTGCTGGTTCACTCCCCAAAGGACTGCAGTAGCAAAGGCTATATTGGAACTGGGACTGAGAACTCAATCCAGGTCTCACGTGAGCAGCAGAGACCCATTACTTGAGCCAGTTTTTGCTGCCTCGCAAGGTCTGTGTTGATGGAAAGCTGGAGTCAGGAGGCAAAGCCAAGACTCAAGCCCGAGTACTCCAGTGTGGAACGTGGGCGTCTTAATCACTAGGCCAGACTCTCGCCCCAGGTTTTTCTAAGTGACCATACTGAAGCATAGACCAGCTTGATCTTTCTTTCTCTAAGGACCTAGAGCTAGAAGCCACCTAATCTCTTTCATGGAACCTGTCTGGAAAGCACTTCACACTCAGGGTAAAGAAGGTTTGGAGGGAAGTACTATAACCAAAATATCAAGTTTACTTTAAAAAAGTAGACCATTTAAGTGTTTCCTGGACTGTAGGCATGTTTAATTAATTTCAGAACAGCTTTATCTAGATGACTTGGTTTTCTTCAAATTTTCTTTAGCTATTTCTGATCACACAAAAAAATTCTCATATGACTTAATTCTCACAATTAGTTGAAATTTAATCTTGACGTAACTATCATCTTCCCCTTGGAAAAAATCTCACAGGGAAATCACTGTTTAAAAGAAATGGGCTTGATCAACTCCCTTCCCCTTCACATTTCAAACTCATTTGTACTGGGAATTTTTACAACAAACTCTCTGACATAAGTATAACCAAGAGATAAAAGAAACAGCATTCTACTTCCAGTTTAAATTTAGAATCACCTTGGCACATAGACTGAGTTTCATTGTGTCTCTGAGACCATTTAAATCTAATTCCACCAGATTCTCATTCTACTCCTACATGGCACGAGAGTCCTCTGAAATCAATGGATGCTGGACTCCCACAACCCTCACTTCAGGAAGGGGATTACAAATGGAACCAACTCCAAGTAGTAAGGCCAATACTCGACAGAAGAGACAAGATCCCAAGGCTGCGTGTCTTTCCCAAGTGTTTCAGTTCTACTTACCATTAGAATGATCAAAAGGCCAATGTTTCTGAAAAGGAGGTAGTCCATTCCTTCAAGTCCTCTTGCATAGGATCCCAGCGAGAGTCAGTTGTAGTCCTAGCTTCTGGGGTTTGAATCTGCCTCTGCAGCAGGATGTGCTTTGAGGCACCCTTTTAGGAGGGCATGGGTGATAACTCTGGTCCTCTCTGAGCAGAGGGATGAAGATAGCCTATGATGACTCTATTTCCCCACCCCAAACTCCTGGGCTGGTCTGGAAGGCTGGCATTGTTTGGGCTCTGGGTAAGAAATGAGACACACCTTGATTCTTATTGCAATGAAACCCTTTGTTGGACACCAAAGAAAAATCTTACAGAGCAAGGACAAGATTTATAGGGAAGATACCCAATGAATAATAAATTACTCACAACATGAAAAATAATTAAAATGTTAGGGCCTATCATCATGCTGAATAAAATTAGAAGGCTCCTTCTTGCTGCCAACATTGTAAAAGCAAAATTACATATACTGACAACACACACACACACATGTCCACTACAGAACAGCTCCGAGAAGTGGCATTTGTAGTAGAGGCAACTGTGAAAAGGCCCAGATCTGAAGTATGGTACAGGGAGAAAGACAGAGCGATGACATTCTTAGGTTTTAATCCAGGTGGTTCCTGCTTTCCTCTTTGAGAAGCTCTGTGGTTGCACCACACTCTCAACTTTAAAGATGTTCTGAAATAATCCAGTTAATATAAAGAAATCTGATTTAACAAATATCTGCATGTTTGCTTCCATATTTTGATAGCATTTCTCCTGATTATGCAATTAAACTTACTGGGTACAGTGTTTATGCACTTGTTTAAAAAGTAATCTGTGGCCGGCGCCGCGGCTCACTAGGCTAATCCTCCGCCTTGCGGCGCCGGCACACCGGGTTCTAGTCCCGGTCGGGGCACCGGATTCTGTCCCGGTTGCCCCTCTTCCAGGCCAGCCCTCTGCTGTGGCCAGGGAGTGCAGTGGAGGATGGCCCAGGTGCTTGGGCCCTGCACCCCATGGGAGACCAGGAAAAGCACCTGGCTCCTGGCTCCTGCCATCGGATCAGCGCGGTGCGCCGGCCGCATCGCGCTGGCCGCGGCGGCCATTGGAGGGTGAACCAACGGCAAAAGGAAGACCTTTCTCTCTGTCTCTCTCTCTCACTGTCCACTCTGCCTGTCAAAAAAAAAAAAAAAAAAAAAAAAAAAAGTAATCTGAATTCACTTTTCTCACTCCTCATTGAATTTCCACTGACAAGAAGTACACCACATGGGAGAGGAACACTTTGAAGCTACTGAACATATTTGTTAAGGAGAACCTGAAGTTGGTGCTCTGAGAAAGTAAGGGGAAAAGACCAGGGCATTCAGATATGTCTGAATATCATTCCCCCTCCCTTTTTTTTTCATTTCTTTCTTTCTTTCCCTTTGTTAATCTGTGTCTGGAATAGGGTACAGAGTCTTCTGAAAAAAAAAAAAAAAAAAACAACTGCAGGCTGGCCTCAACATCAATAAACATGAAAAGAAAGTGCAGTTCAGTGTCTTGTAACTGCTAACATACGTTGATTGGAGAATCTCAGGGGGAGACCACTTGGTCTTTATTGTCCCTTCACTATAATTTGGAAACATGGTGGACTTTGGAAATCTGACTTTCAAATAAATTTAAAAATTGTTTTTTTAAATATTTATTTGAAAGGCAGAAGAGAGAAAGAGAGGGGGGGAGAGAGAGAGAGAGAGAGAGAGAGATAGAGACCTACTATCTGCTGATTCACTCTCCAAATGCCTGCAACAGCTGGGTCTCCTATGTGTGTGGCAGGGATCCAAGTACTCAGCTCTCTCCACTATCTCCCAGGGTGCACATTATCAGGAAGCTGAAGTCAGGAGCAGAGCCATAACTTGAACCCAGACAATTCAATGTGAGATGTGGGCATCTCGAGTGGTGTCTCAACCATTGCATCAAATGCTTGCCCCTGTAGAAAATTTTTCTTTTATATTTAGGTCAGACTTGCATTAAATGTTTTTCCTCATGAGATGGATCTATCAATAGTGGTAGTATCAAGCTTTTGGTACACAGCAGAAAATTTCCCTTGCGTCTGCATGTGTGGGAAGTGTGAATGGGTACTGCTTATTTGATGGTTTTTAAAAGACAGAGTGGTGTGAGGTGGTTCTCTCTAACCCAACTTTCTAAGGGTTTTTCATGACTATAACCTTATTAGGACCTTTTTAAATTTTTTAATGGTCACTTGGTTAATCCTCTGCCTGCAGCGCTGGCACCCCAGGTTCTAGTCCTGGTTGGGGCGCCGGATTCTGTCCCGGTTGCTCCTCTTCAGGTCTAGTTCTCTGCTGTGGCCTGGGAGTGCAGTGGAGGATGGCCCAGGTGCTTGGGCCCTGCGCCTGCATGGGGGGCCGGGGGGAGGCACCTGGCTCCTGGCTTCTGATTGGCGCAGTGCGCCGGCTGTGGCAGCCATTTGGGGGGTGAGCCATTGGAGGGAAGACCTTTCTCTCTGTCTCTCTTTCACTGTCTAACTCTGCCTGTCAAAAAAAATTATTTACTTATTTGAAAGGCAGAATTATAGAGAGGCAGAGGCAGAGAGAGAGAGAGAGAGAGAGAGAGAGAGATGGAGAGAGGGAGAGAGAGTCTTCCATCTGCTGGTTCACTCCCCAAATGGCAGGAATGGCCAGAGCTGAGTTGATCTCAAGCCAGGAGCCAGGAGCTTCTTCAGAATCTTCTACGCAGGTGCAGAGTCCCAAGGACTTGAGCCATCCCAGGTCATAGAAGAGAGCTGGATCAGAAGTGGAGCAGCAGAGACTTGAACGGGCACCCATATAGGATACCAGCCCTGCAGGCGGTGGCTTTATCCACTACACCACAGCACCAGCCCCTTGTTTTCTTTTTTAATAAAGCAATTAATTAATTGGGGAGCAGGAGAGAGAAACTTCCATTCACTGGTTTGTTTTCCAAAATCCCACAATGGGTGGATTGAGGCCTGACTGAAGCTGGGATCCAGGAACTCAATCCAAGTCTCCCATTTGAGCAGAGACCCAAAAACTTGAGACATTGCTTGCTGCCTCCAGGGGCCTGTATTAATAGTAAGCTGGAATTTGGAGTGGAGCTGAGACTTAAACCCAGGGATTCTGGTGTGGTTTGCAGGTATCCCAAACATTGTTTCACCCACTTTGGTCAAATACCTCCCCATCATGGCCTTGTTTATGCCTTATACAAGCCACTTCCTGGAAAAGAAGCTCAGCATGACCCTGAGTATGGTAGTGAGTTGGATATTCCTGGGCTAAAAACTTGGCACGTCTTTCCACCCACACAGATGTGCCACAAACATCTGTGAGGATGGTTTGCAGTTTACAGAAATGTGATGTACAATACAACTTAAGCTTTGAATCATAGAAACACGGGGAGGGAAGATAAAGTGTCTAAAATCAATAGATTTAGAAAATATGATTGAAATCCTCCTTCTATATATGAGCTGGTTTGTCATGGCTCCTGAATTAATAGTTAGTTTCAGTGCCTGATTCAAAAGGGAAATTTGAAATGATGATCAACAATTTGTAAAAGCTTCAGCATTTTCAGTACTCTGCTCTGAGAGCATCAACCAAAACTAACAGTGGAAGACCTTTGGTTGCAGTGCGAATCACCATAGAACCATAGCAAAGGGAGAAGCCCCAAGGAATGCTTTAATGAGTTCATGCAGTGGGCAGATCAGAGCTTAAGAAACGCCTAAAGGGTCAGGGAGAAGCCAGTGTCTCTCACTGTGGTTTTATTTCTGTGACTACTTCCAAGCAGGCTCAGAGGCAACCTACAGTAGTGTATCACACTGATATGTCTCATAGGGAAAGTTTACCAATGTTTAGTCAGCTGACAAAATGTTTTTTTGCCTTATTTTGGGTAACTCTGAATTCAAATAATTTAATATTTGCCTAAAAAATTACTGAAAGAAGTTGAGATCCCTATGTGACATTGTTTCACAAGGAGAAAACAGCATTCTTCTCCATTGCTATGTCTGATGGAGATAATTTATGTAAGTTTTCACCCTTTGTAATATGAGTAGTTGATTTCTTCTAAAATACAAGATATTCTGTCCTCCTGCATGTCATTCAAAGGGTGAGTTGTTGTTGTTTTTAAAGTAATAGCAAGCAATAGATACAGGTACTAAATTGGGTATATTTCTCCAGCTTTTCCTATTTGTGATTTCTGATTTCAGTGGTACTTAGAATTTGAATGTGAAGATTATTATCATGAGCAGAGAATAAGCTTGGTTTCTTTTGCTTTACAAATCATATCTGAGGCTGGGTAATGTATAAGAGAACTTTAAAAAGTTTATGGGAGGCAGGTGTTTAGGCTAGCTTTTGTGAGGTTGTTAAGATGCCTGGGTCCCATGTTAGAGAATCTGGGTTTGGCTCCTGGCTCTGGCTTGTGACTTCAGCTTCCTGATAATGTAGATACTGGTGATAGCACAGTGGTGATAACCTAAATGGGAGAACTGGAATGGTTTTCCAGCTCCTAATTTGACCCCAGCTCAGTCCCAGCTATTGCGGGCATGTGGGGCGTGAACCAGTGATAGGAGAGTGTTTTCACACACACACACACACACACACACTCTCTCTCTCTCTCTCTCTCAATAAATAAATGAAAAAATTTAAAAGCTTATGGAGAATTTACATTATCTTTTATTTCATTTTTCAGAAATGCTTTGAAGCTGCCTTTCTTATATGAAGAAAAGTAGTTTATTTAACTCTCAGTTTTAGAGGCTACAAATCTAAGATTGTGCTATGCCATCAGCTCAGTCTCCATGAGAGCATTTTGGCTACATTCAACCATGGCAAGTGGCATCAAACCAGGAGCACATGTGAGAGGAAGAGCGCAGCCATACGGGCAGATGGGAAGCAAGTGAGAGTCAGGAGTCAGGCTTGCTCTTTTTTTAACAGCCTGTTTTCATGGGAACTAACCAGGTCCCCTAAAGACTACAGGAACCCCTTCTGAAGCTGGCATCCCCAATGACCAAACCCTTGTCCACTAGGGCCCACCTCTTAAAGGTTCCACTGCAACACTGCCATTGTGGGACCCATGCTCCCAATACATGGAACTTTGAGGCAGACACTCAAACTATATCCAGACTGTAGCGAGTGGATTTAAAAGGTTCTGCAATAACCAAGAAGAGACCACCCGAAGGCCCGTCGCCTCATTTGTTTGAGTGTGTGTTAAAAAGTGTGTGGAAAATGGAATTAAAAAATCAATTTATTTTGGTCCAAAAGCTTTGAAATCCATGCATAAGAGTGGTCTTCAAAAAGTTGAAGGAAATGTGTACAATGAAAAATTATGTATGAATTTAATTTTTTTGCACCAAAATAAACTTATTTCTTTAGAAGAATAGCAACTGATTTACTAAAAATTTATTTTACTTATTTAAGAGGCAGACATAGAAAAAGAGGGACAACTCCCATTTGTTGCTTTACTTTCCCAAATGCCTGCAAAGGCTGAAGCTGGGAGCTCAATCCTGGCCTTCCACCTGGTGTCAGGTACCTGATTGCTTGAACCATTACCACTGCCTCTCAGGGTCTGCTTCGGTAGGAAGCTGGAATCAGGCACCAGAGCTGGGCATCAGACCCAGGCACCCTGATATAGGACACAGGTATCCCAACTGGCATCATAACTGCTAGGCTAAATGCCTGTCCCATTAAGTTATTTTAAATACATTTATTTTCCCTGTTGAACTTTTTGAAGTGTCCTTGTACTTACTCTCCTTTGGGAGAGTTGAAGAATAATCTTTCAGTAGAGTTCTGAAAAAGAAAAGTTGGGTGATGGTTCTGAGCTTACACAGATAAGAACAAGTACTCCTGTCTCTTGTGAGCGATATTGCTCATTGTAGAAACAAAGCTTGAGATAGTCTTGCTTAAAGAGACTATAGAGATGACCTAATCCAATATCTCTTCTCTTCCTTGTCTCTTCTCCATATGTACCCATATCCCAGAGGGGCCAATGATAGGGCAAGTGTTCTGTCTGCTGATTCATTGTCTGTTTATATAAACATCAAGCCACTTTTCAGTATTAGCTACATATGTGAAAGCAAAATAGTAGATGGGTGAATGTTACTAGCTTTAGAAAATTTTCCCATACATTATATTTTATTAAACTATTTGTAGTTGTTTCTATGAAAACAACTTTTTTAGTAAGTTCTTTATATAACTCCCTTTTGATGTTATGTGAGTAGCATTTCTTTGGTCAGATGACAGTGTACTTCAAATTTCAAGGATGTTCTTGATATTTAATTATTATTTTTGTAATAGCACTCAGAATATCAGGACATTTTAATTCCACATTTCACATCCATGTGGATCACAGCAAAACCCTAAACACTTGTGTTTTCCAAAGTAATGCTTCTGACAGCAGCTAATACAATGTATGCCAGCACAGGTTCTCTTTGAAGAAAAAAAAAAAAGAAGTGAAATCCGTGTGGGGACAGATATCATGGAAATGAAGTTAAGGCAAGGTTTTCCAAATTATGATAGTTTAGAGTTGCTTGTGGGTATTATTTAAGTATCCAAGGGCAGCTCTCTTTCTTGAAAGTAAGTATTAGAAGAAAGGAAAATTTTTTAAAACTTTTATTTAATGAATATAAATTTCCAAAGTACGGCTTATGGATTACAATGGCTTCCCCCCCCATAATGTCCCTCCCACCCGCAACCCTCCCCTTTCCTATTCCCTCTCCCCTTCCATTCACATGAGGATTCATTTTCAATTCTCTTTATATACAGAAGATCAGTTTAGCATACATTAAGTAAAGATTTCAACAGTTTGCTCCCACACAGAAACATAAAGTGAAAAATAATAGATGATTTTTTAAATGATGATGAAATCAGATCAGACCTATTGTCATGTTTAATCCCAGTGAGAGTCAAGTTGGGAATTGCTAATTTAGAAGAAAGGAAATTTTAAAAATATTTATGGTTCTATACTGTGTTTGCCAAGTGAAATAAAAATATTTTCTCCAGCTGACACAAGCAAAAGGGTTTTCATTAGCCAGGGCTTGGGAAGATGGACAAAAGATAGACAAGGCTTGTCTTGGTGTTGACCTAGAGTGGTTGCTGTGAATACATGTCTCACTCTTCAACCCTTACAGAGCTGAAGACAAACATCCTGTCCCCTCATTAAAGTCACTTTATATATGGCAGCCAATCAGGTACATTAGTGGGTGTTAGAAATCATGGAGGTTAAATGTCAGTTTCCTAAAGCGTTAAGATAATACCGTAGGGACGATGTTTGTTTACACCCTAAAATCATACGTACACCCTAACAGAATTGCCTTGTTGATTCGCTGTGACTTTACAACATCAGTGAGGTATGTATCCCAAATATGTGGGCACGGAGTAGCGTGGCTTCCACTTCTATAGTAATTAGAGTCTCTTACCTACATGCTTATTACATACTTGCTACATACTTATTCTGGAAAATTTCATCTTGGTCTGCCTCTGACTCGCAAGCAAGGCAGTGGCAGACATTCCCCGGGCTGCTAATGACTGAGATATCACTGTGGCAATTTTGACGACACAGGCAAGTGCCCCCTTGGGCAAAGCTGTAATGTGTATGTGGTTCACCTTCGATGTTGTGGGTCATGCATCTGGTAGACTAATGGAATAGGATCTGGGAAGCTCAGATTGTTGGAGAAAGAAATCCAGGAATAAGAAGGTCAAAAGGTAGGAAGTGACTTTTGAAATGATTTTTTTTTGGCCAGTGTGCTGAAAATGCAGATTTCTTGGCTTCATATGTACCGAATCATAATCTCTGGGGATGAAGCTTAGAATTGTTCTTTATTTACCATGTTCTCCAGGCAGCTCTGGATTTCAGGCTGAAGTTTAAGAACTATTGAGTCAGTGTAATCCTGTGGATGGCCTAGGATAAGTGAAACCAGCTAAACAAGGACATTTTTCTAATGTAAGGTCAGCATCTCTCATGGAAGTGGGGCACTGAAGACTTGTGTATCTTTTCATGTGAAATGTTTACTTCCCTTTCCTTTTTTCTGTTGTGTCATTGCTTTCTTTATTTTTGACTTAGTTATAGAAAATGAAGGTGACAGCTTTAGAAAGTTTGACCTTCCATTTTCCTTTCCCTGCCAATCAGTGGTGTGGACTGGGTGCCTATAAGTGTGTTCTCTGACAATTTCATAATTTGCCTACATTCCTAGATTCTGAAGCATTGTTTCACTTATTTTAGAGCAATCTTCACACGTGTCTTAGTCTGTTTGGGTTGCTTTACAAAATACCAGAGACTGGGTGATCCATGAATAGCAGAAATTTATTTCTCACAGTTCTGGAGGCTGAGAAATCCTAGATGAAAACATTGGCAAATTCAGTATTTGGTGAGAGCCTATTCCTGCTTCCTGCTTCCTATATGTCACCTTCTGGCTGTGTCATCAAATGGTGAAGGAGGTGGACCTATTTTATCAGGGCAGTAATCCCACCCATGAGGATGCTTCTTCCTTCATGATCTAATCACCTCCCAATGACCCACACCTCCTAATACTGTCACCTTGCGATTAGAATTTCAAAATATGAATTTTGGAGTTGCAGGACACAAGCATAAAGACAACAGTAACTCTAAAATAGATTTGGGAGATATATTCACATGATCTGAAACTTCCTAGTTTTGATATAAAGTTTACTATATTTAGCACACATTCTTTATGTTATGCATGTGTTTTGAACAGAGATTGGCAATCATTTTGTAATTCTTTTTGAGGATGGATTATTCCTATTTTTAATACATTTTTATTTATTTATTTTTATTTTATTTGAAAAGGAAGAGATGAGAGAGAGAGAGAAATTGAGATTTTCTATCTGTTGATTTACTCCCCAAATACCCTCAACAGCATGAGCTGGCCCAGGTTGAAGCAAGAGCCAGAACTCAATCTAGGTCTCCCATGTAGGTGACAAGGATCTGAAGTGTTAAGCCATGGGAAGCTGTAATTTAACCACTGCACCAAATGCTTGCTCCTGGGTTATTTTATATTTATTGTTTTGGTTTGGTTTCATAGGGTCAAGTAGAATAAAAATATCTTGACTACCTCATTTTCTGAAAATCCCTAATGCCTTATCATCTTTGTCAGTTTTTATTGTGTATGTTATAATATGTTATTTAGTTTATCCCTTAATAAGCTTTAATTATAGTTTGTAGTTTGTCAATAGTTATGCAATTATACCGCTTTTTTTCAACTAGGATAAATGTTATATGTTCGTGTGCTATATTGAACCATATAAAGATTCAGATCTGGTTCAAATTCTAAGAGTTGCACTCAGGTTGTTTCTATGAGTTTATTAGTTCTCTAAATTACAATTCCATCATCTATTTCTCTTCCTGTGTTTGGGAAATTAAATCAGATGTGTTTACATAAAGAAAATAATATGCAATGTATTCATTTTGGGTGCTATTCTTTCTTTCAAAGTTTCTAGCATTTATATCTTTAATATACTTTTTATTTATTAAATCATATGGTACTAGATATGGATTTAAGTTTTAAAATATATTAAAATGTAATTTTTAGTGATAAACATTAAGTAAGATTTTTCTTTCTTCTTTGTTACTCTAGTTCATAACTCATATCTGAAAATTTTATACATGTACTTGAAATATTATTCTGTTCTATTGGTTTTTCATATTTATTTTGGTTTTTATGACTTTTTACAAAATATTACATCTATCTTTTAAAGCTCATTATCTTTTCTTCACAAGTATAATGTTGCTGTAGCAGGTAGGTTTCAGGCTGTTAATGATACGAGTATCACCAAAGGAAGTCCAGCCAAAAGGTGTCTAGGATTTTCCCAAAAAGCATTGAGCTCAATTCCTAGGACCCATTATCAGCCTTCCATAGTTTTAATTCTCCCCTTACTATTTTTACATCCAATTTTCCAGGTTCACCTTTGCTTTTGCCCTTAAATTGAAAGTAGATTTTCTTGGTAATGAATTACCAATAATCAGCTTTATAGAATATGATGTATAAAGCAGAATATCAATTTATTAATTTTTATGAGTAATTATTTTTCCCAAGGAGATAACTATAAATTCACACCCTTTCTGCAAAGGATGCCTTCTACTTGCCGTAGCAATTAACATAGCAGCCCAAAAACTATTTATTGGTTGTGCATGGAAAGCTTTTGACATCCTTTTCATTTAAGCTTCAGGGGTACTCAGTGATGCTCGAAGAAGAGAAACACTTATATTTACTCCCTGATTAGAATAGCAAGTGAAAAATTCAGAAACCTTCTATTTGAATTCATCTATTGGGTGATCTTTTACTTATGGTTTTATTTATTAATCTCACAGGGTTCTAAGAACGCATTTCCACTGCTGACATGATCTTTATTCCGTGAAGAACAGCCACGTTCTTGTTCCAATTTTACCTTTTTAAAAGGTAGTTTTCAAATATTTGGAAAATAATTGCTTATACTTGAAATTAAACTATTTTTCTGTAGTTTACTTATAGCTCAAATGAAACACCAGTTAGGACTAAATTTTTACATATCGCATCTTCTCCGGAAACATATTTAAGATAGTTGATCAAGACACATTTTATACTTGAACAAATTCCATCATTTGCTTCTCAGATGAAAGAAGCACCACCAAACCAATGGGCAGTTCTGAATAAGTAGCCTTACCTGGGGTGGCAAGAATTTTACAAGTAATCTGGAGTACTCCTAGGCTTCAATTCTTGCATGGATTGTCAATGTAGCAATAGATTTCAGAACAACTTGGGGGTAAATGGATTGCATTTATTCCTGTGTGCAACAGATCATAATTGAGTGTCCACTGCTATGCTGATTTCTATGCAGCGCACATTAACTATAATTTTCTTATTTAATTACTTCCATATCCATCTAATAACAAGATAGTTTTTGAGTGTCTTATGAGATATGCTAGGTACAGGAACTCGTTTCAGAGACTGAGTGAATTGGCATGATGTTGTTAGCAATAAGCTGTTAAAGTTTTGGGGTTATGTGTACAAAAATGCTAACTTTAATGAATCTGTATCATTTCTTTGTGGCAGTTAAGTAGATTTAAAAAAAATGATATATACGGGTCACTTCTAAATTTGTAACAATAAAGCCAAGTCATGGTTTATAGGAGATAAGCATCTAATTAACAAAAACATAGGAATTCACGAGGGAGCAATTAATGGCAAGGGGAATCTGAAGATTTTCCTATTTCACACCGCTGGGCTTTGTTAATTAGTTTACCAATAGATTAGCTGATGAGCCATTCTTATTTACAGGGAAATATTTGAAAAGCCTGTCAAATCCAAAAATCCCCAGTTTTCTCAGTGTGTTTCCCCAGAGGGCTGATGGGTACACCAATGGTGCTATAGTCGTTGACGGGGCCCCCTCTGTGTTTTGCTCCAATTGTGTCACTGTCCATTCACTCAACTGCCAGCTCAAGCATTTGTTCACTTCACTGCTGCCAAGGCCACTTTGCCCACCTGTGTAGCAGGCACAGGGAATTAACTGTGCCCAGAAGCATAAACACACCGCCTTCCTCATTTCTTGTGTGGGTTAACCCTGCAGTGCGCGCCCTTTCCCTGGAGGGCTGCACACCAATTGCCCATCGGCAGAACTGGCTTCAAAGTGCATCCTGTGTTGGCTGCTTATCTTTCTCTGTTTTATCTCCCCATTCTCTACCAGCGGCTACCTTCCTTCCTTCCACAGTTGTCTTCAAATCTTGTGTTAGAAATGAAGAAATCTGGAACACATCATGCTGAGTGAAATAAGCCAATCCCAAAGGGACAAATACCATTTGTTCTCCTTGATAGGTGACAACTATCTGAGCACCAAAAAGGAAACCTGTTGAAGTGAAATGGACACTATGAGAAATGGTGACTTGATCAGCCATTGCCCTGTTGATGAACAACTTAATACATTATCCCTCTTAGTATTTTTTTTCTCTGTTCTACTTAATACTACTGGTTTAATTCTGTAATCAATACACAGTTATTTTTAAGTGCTGAAACTTAACTGAAAAGTGATCCCTGTTAAATATAAGAGTGGGAATAAGAGAGGGAAGGGATGTACAGTTTGGGACATGCTCAAGCTGACTTGCCCCAAACGGTAGAGTTAGAAACATACCAGAGGATTCCAATTCAATCCCATCAAGGTGACATGTACCAACGCCATCTCGCTAGTCCAAGTGATCAATTTCTGTTCACAATTGATCATAATGACAGGACTAAGAGTCAAAGGGATCACATAAACAAGACTAGTGTCTGCTAATACTAACCGATAGAATAAAAAAGGGGGAGAACGATCCAACATGGGAAGCAAGATACACAGCAGACTCAGAATGGCGGATGTCCTAAACAGCACTCTGGCCTCAGAATCAGCCCTAAAGGCATTCAGATCTGGCTGAAAAGCCCATGAGAGTATTTCAGGCATGGGAAGCCAAGACACTCTGGCAAAAAAAAATGACCTAAATGAAAGATCTCCATGAGTGAGATCCCAGTGGAAAGAACAGGTCTTCAAAGAAGGAGGTACCTTTCTCTGAAGGGAGGAGAGAACTTCCACTTTGACTACGACCTTGTCCAAATAAGATAAGAGTCGGAGAATTCAAAAGGCTTCCATAGCCTTGGAAACTCATGACTGGAGCATAGGGAGATTACTGATGCCATAAACAGGAGTGTCAATTTGTAAAGTCAACAACAGAGTCACTGTGCACTTACTCCTCATGTAAGATCTCTGTCCTTAATGTGCTGTACATTGTGATTTAATGCTATAATGAGTACTCAAGCAGTATTTGTCACTTTGTGTTTCTATGTGGGTGCAAACTGTTGAAATCTTTTCTTAATGTATACTAAACTGATCTTCTGTATATAAAGAGAAATGAAAATGAATCTTGATGTGAATGGAAGGGGAGAGGGAGAGGGAAAGGGGAGGGTTGCGTGAAGGAGGGAAGTTATTGGGGGGGAAAGCCATTGTAATCCATAAGCTGTACTTTGGAAATTTATATTCATTAAATAAAAGTTAAAAAATTAAATAAATAAATGTTTAAAGAAAAGATTATATCTTTCATGAAAAAAAAAATCTTGTGTTAGGCTCTGCTCTGGGTAAACCCAAGATGACAGCCATCAGAATCAGCCGAGAAGCCCAGGGCTATAATTTATCAAGCAGTAGCTGGCATAGATTTTGAAAGAGACACTTAAGGTGCATGGAGAAAAATATCTTCTCATAAAAATATTGTGATGAATCACATTCTAGGTCAAACCAGATGTGCAGTTTGATATGAATCAGAACCTGATATTCTGAGTGGTGCTGGAAAATGGCCTTTGACCCTAGTTTTTTTCTACAGGAGGCCTCATTAACCTGTCTGGGATTTTTGTTTTGTTTTTCCTCTCCAGTCGTATGGATGGGCTGATCACTCACCTGTATTACTGCATAGTCTCCTAACCAGCCTCCTCACCTCTGGCATTTCTTTTGAGGAATGACAGCACTATAGATAGAGGGACCTTTGAAAATTGTACATCTAGGGACCAGCATATTGTGCAGGGGTTAAGCTGTCCACATACAATATCAAAGTGTCTGGCTCTGAGTCCTGGCTCTGCTTGTGAGTCCAGCTTCTTGCTGAGGTGCACCCTGGGAAGCAAGTATTGAATCCCTGTTGCTCAAGTGGGAGAATGATTTCCTGCCCTGGTCCTGTTCCTGCCATTGCAAGAATCCAGAGAATGAACCATGGAATGAAGATCTTGATATTTCTCTCTCTCTCTCTCTCTCCATTTCAAATAAGTAAAATAAAACAATAAACTAAAAATGCCTGTCTGGCCAGAACACTGTTTGCCAAAACTTTCCATTGGCTCTTCATCACACTCAGAATGAGCCAAGTTCCCATACTGGTCTTCAAGGTCAAATTCAATCTCAGCCCTGGTTCCCTCCATGACCTCATCTCCTATTGCTTTCCTTCTTTCATTCTCTCTGGATACCCAAATCTTCTTGTTCTTTCTTGAATACCCTGCTATCTGAAGTGTCTGGGCCCCAGATAGCCACATAGATGTCTTAAGGATAAAAAGGTACAATTTTAAAAGTAAATAAGAAAAGCTATTTTAGAAGAAATGACATTCTAATGCAGACCAAAATACTAGAGTATTAAAGAGAGAAAGCTAAAAGCACATAAATTCTAAAAATGCATTCAAATGTTTAAAATGCAAACCTTTTATCCCCTTTACACATGTGTGACATTAATACTTGGTCATTGCTGTGCCCTGGCTTCATTTGTTGTATACCTGGGGGTAGGCTTTGCAGGAAATATGAAAAAAGGGAAGCTAGGAAATAGAATATATAATTTACAGGCAGGCATTTGGTGCAGTGGCTAAGATGCTACACCCTATGGCCGGCGCCATGGCTCATTTGGCTAATCCTCCACCTGCTGCACTGGCACCCCGGGTTCTAGTCCCGGTTGCTCCTCTTCCAGTCCAGATCTCTGCTGTGGCCTGGGAGTGCAGTGGAGGATGGCCCAAGTGCTTGGGCCCTGCACCCCATGGGAGACCAGGAGGAAGCACCTGGCTCCTGGCTTTGAATCGGCGCAGCGCACTGGCTGCAGCATGATGGCTGTAGCGGCCATTTGGGGGGTGAACCAATGGAAAAGGAAGACCTTTCTCTCTGTCTCTCTCTAACTCTGCCTTGAAAAAAAAAAAAAATGGATGTTACACCCTGTGTTCAAGTATCAGCTCTACTTCTGACTCTAGTTTCCTGCTACTGCACACCATGGGAAGAAGCAGGCAATGACTGGGATAGCTGGGTTCCTGCCACCCACGTGGGATACCTGGATTCAATCTGGGAAGTGAACCCACAGTTGGAAGATCTGTGCCTATCTGTTTGTCTCTATCTCTCTGCCTTTCAAATATATAAAACATTTTTAAACAAAATGTATTTTAACACTAGGAAAATAAAGGCTATTCCCTCTAATGTGGGATGCAAATAATCACTAGATTTCATGACTTCTAGTTATGTCTTACAGTCCTACACTTTCTCCCACCTTATAATTCAGAAAAGATAATAGATGCATATCAATAATTTTATTGATGTAAACACAGCTCTTTGGTAATTACAAACCGACTTGGAAAAGCCAAAAGATGACCAAGCAAGGAACCAGTACCCAAAAAACTCAAAAGCTTTATACATCACCAAAGATGATTATTAGAGTTCAAAAATACTTGTAAGATAGACAGCAAAAGAAAACTAAAGTTGACTAAGTACAGTTTGACCATCAAGTGTGTAAACAGCAAAATAGAAGGCAATGTAGGCAATTACACAATAAATTATTCCTTGCTTTAAACTTTTTTGTTAGATAATAGATTCATCTTTTCCCAATTTGTCCAAATATAAATTGAATAATCTGGAATTGGAAGACAGGTTTGATTGCATGGGTACTAGCAACCTACTATGGATTGGTATGTTCTAGTGTCATGTGAAGTAGGTCCTAAAAATATTGGCAATGCCCCAAAAGGTTGGAATTCATTAAACAGGCATAGAAAATGTGGTAAGTACTTTGAAAGTTTGTTTTGAGTTTTAAATGTCTTTTCAATATAGCCATAGCCTTTTAAAAAATTTTTAGCATGTTTTATAACACTTTTATTCTCCTACTAAAGTCAAAGAGTGTCATGAGTGCTATGTCTTGGCTGATACTCAAATTTTGGTATAAATTCAGAAATAAATTGTGTAGATAACTAGAAATACCCACTTACTGTAACATTTAATTTTTGAGGATATATGCTTTAAAAAACTGTCAAAATATCATCTTGAATGGAAATCTCTATACACAAATGTAAAACAGATATATATATGAAAGCATATAAATAACCCCAAAATACACTTTTTCTGTCAATTTTCAGTGCAAAACAAATATATCAAACAATATGCATAGAGGTAAAAACTATGTAGCAGATATGTTTAGGATTCAATGTCAAAATTAAGTCAAGATGGTATTTTAGTTGATATAAATGATGAATAATGTATGATACATTAATTTTTGTCCTTATGGATACCTCTTTAGAAAATTAGATGTACAGATACCATGGTTGAGCTGCAAACCATGTATATATAACATTAAATTACTCTCTCTTCCTTCTTGCTTTTGTTGATAGCAAGTTGTGATAGGATTCAGCAAGCAATATGGATTTGAATTACACCTTTTCTCTTATAAACGGATTTCCATTTCCCTTCCAGGTATACGGAATGGTGTACATGAGTTAGAGTAAAGTATCTTAAAACAAGAAAGAAATTCTGTCCAAAGGCTGTTCATTAAAAAGCATCATGCCTTTAAACAAATGGTTGTTTGTAAAAAGGAGATTGTAAAATTTTAAAAGCAGCATAAAACATCAATGTGAAATCCTAAAAAAAGAGAAAATGATTTGAAAGTATCTTCCTAGAAAGATAGATGACCAATACTGCCATTTTTTCCTTGTATTTTCCATAGTTTTATATAACTGATGGATTTTAAGAAAATCAGCTAGTAGAGATGATCACTCTGTATTTTGTGAGATACCCTAAAAATATCTATGCAAGGTATCAGTTGTCATACAAAAAGACTTGTGATGATATGTCATATCAAAACAAAAAATGTTTGCTATACATAGATAACATTCTCTTTAATTAATTAATTAGTAATTATTTCTATTCCTTCAAACTCCTGGATCCAGATATACTCAAGCATATTTCAACAAATACCTTTTGACTATATTTCTGGAAAAATTATCCATCCTTAATGTAGTTCCTTAAATGGCGGGAAGAAATAAAAGAAAGACTCCCTTTGAATGACTTTATTTACACCTCCGCAATTTGGCATGTTAAAGACTGTCAAAATTTTGCATATTCTACAGAGTTAAAATAAGATGTATATTGTGGCTTTAAAAATATAAAGCTTATCAACAATTATATAGAGCAAAATGGCTCTGAATAGAATAATTCACTCCTAGCCACCTTTGACAATGATTGGAAGTTGAATATTCTTTGACCTTGTACATTCTGAGGAATTTGAGTACTCAGGGGAAAATTTCTTAAAACTTGTATATAATTCACAACTGCAGGGCAAAAAGTTTATTTTACTAATTTTATTTTGTCATATCAGTTTAGTAAGCTTGTATTCACATTGAACTTAAAAAAGAGAAAAGAATTTCCCTAATAATAAATTTGCCTATCTCTTAGAATGCTTTGATCTTCTTTTAGATTTTAAATCAGGGAACACTATATAGCAAACACACAGAAATAATACATCATAAATAAGACCATGTTAAATTTTGAAGCTCAAAAAATATATCATACTATATTATTTGAAGACTATAATTCAGAGCATATAGAAACCAAGAACTTCTTTGACAAATCAAATCAGAAATTTAAAAATTTTCTAGTTAGAAAATTTTGTTAGGGGATGGCCTGGACTAAAGCAATGACTTTGTCTAGTACTCTTTCATTTTTGCCAACACAATACCATCGACTCTGTTAAAGGTTCCTGGTCTAGCTCTTTAAGCAGAGGGTTGTTAGAAGAAGTTCTAAACTCCATTAAAGCTAAGAATTAGTATGGTATTACTTTACCAAGAAATTGCTTTCTAACTTTCCCCATTAGATGGTTTACATTTCCTAAAAACATTTTTTTAGATCCCTTAAAAAAATCCCTCAAAGCTTAACCACATTAAAAGCTTTTGTTTCCCACAGCTCACCTTAAGCAAATTGTTTTAATGTGGAGCTATGTAATAAAACACTGTAAGTGAGTGGCTAAGATGCACTAAGAACACAATCTGAAAATACAACGTAGCCCCCACCTGCTTCATGGAAGGCAATTTGCCACTCACACTGACAACCGTGTCGACTGTCACTTGCTTCTGTCTGGGAAGTAACCGCGGCCAGTTTTTCCTTAGTGAGTCAGAACCACACTGGTCAACGGGAAAATGAGTGTGATATCCCACAACCTCACCAGTAAGCAGTATTTTTCAAGAGCAAATCTACTGTTAAACACAAGCTAGAATCAGAATAATCCTAATTTCACAGGAAGGGAGCCTCATGTTAAGATTCGGGCTCAGACGTTGTGGCTTTACCTGAAGTTAGTCTCATCCTATGGCCTCTCTCATACAGAATTTCGCTGCTGTGAAATGTTTCCTGATGTGAAATTCGTCTTCTCTAGTGCAGTTATTAAGGTAAGAGTGTTTGGTGGCTTGTGAGCTTGACTATGTTGTCAGATATTTTTTTTAATGGCTAATCCTGGCCTGAATCTGTGGCTGGCTTTTTATTTATATTACCTTTGTGAGACTGACAGGGTCAGTGCATGGGCACATATTGCACATTTAGTTCTTTTTGAGTGTTGCCTCAGCTACAAGGCAAATCCCAGCAGAGCAAGAAGTGTGCCAATGGCCACTTACAGTCAGTGCTTTCACATGACCAAGCTCTCTTTATTTTGCTTGCTGGAGATACACTACAGGCCACACATGCAAAGACCTGGTAGGCCACAGAGACACAAAGAAGACCTTGTTGCAAGTTTCAGTTCACTGTCATGATTTCCTTAGGACTAATGTAAGAAAAAAGTTTGCAGGTGCTAAGGAGAGTGCTTCCCTCATAGCAATGTTTCCAATTACTTTTTGTTGTGGTTTCTCAACTTACTCCACAATTATCTTAGCACCTAAGTGTGCATCAAAATAGTTTTTTGATGATGAGAATTTCTAAATCACAAATACCAGGAAAAACTGTGCTGGGGTCCTGACTACTTGGTATACTGTACCGTACTATACTTCGTGATTCGACTTCGAGTGGTGCTAGGAGAGGCAGATCCAAGGGTCTGGCTAAAGTGATGGTCAGAGGAACTCCTCATGTGACCAATGGTAGCTGTCCCCCCCACGCCTCCACCCAGGCTGCTCAGCCCGATGCCACCACTGCTTATCCCAGCTCCACTCAGGCCCCCACCACCAGCACCCATGCTGGTGCCAACCAGGCCACTGCTACTTAAGCCTCCGCCTCCACTTATCCCAGCTGTGCCACTGATTCCACTTACTCCCGCACCAGAAACGACCCTCTCTGTCACAATCACATTGTGGGCGTTGGATAACTCCGGATGCATACTCAGACTGCCCATCATGCCAGAAGTAGGTTGGATGACTCTTTCTGTCACTACCACATTTGAAGACTCTCTAGGATTAGAGACAGTCAGAGAGGTGGGGAGGCTTGACCCTGGTGCTATCACCCTTTCTGTCACTATAACGTTTGACCCCTCTCTCAAGTCAGGAATCTCTAATATTCCATGCAAATCAGTGCCAGAGATTGGGCCCACCACCCTCTCTGTCACCACCACGTTTGACGCATGTCGGTTATCATGAAGGTGGACAGAGGGCTTCAGAGTGCCAGAGGTAGTGTAGGACTCGGTCACAGTGACATTCCCATAGCCTAGAGGATCAGAAATAGGCATAGGATGCTGCACACCAGGTCCTGAGGGATAGGTGCTCTCAGAGATTACTGTGGTGGTGCCAAAATGTGGGGAGATTGGTGGGTGGCCATTGGAAACTGGCTCCGGCCCCTGCTGGGGGAACATGGGTTCAGTGCTCTGAGGTGGCCAAGCAGGATCAGGGTCCGGATAGGATTCTGTATCTTTCCCCAGGCTGATGTCGGCCAACTTCTTAAACTTAGGCCCCAGTGTATCCAAGAAGCTGTCATCCAGGTCTTCTCCAATGAAGCTACAGCAACCCACGGAGCCGGCCGGGGAACCTACACCTTCAATGTCATAGATGAGCAAGCAGTCATTGGATGGACGCCCCTCATCTTCATCTGCATAAGCGTATGCTTTCTGAACATGGGGGAGAAAGAGAAAGTGCAGTTATGACCACATGTTCAACAATACCCGAAAAGTCTTTGCCATCAGTTTTTTACACAGTGTTACCAAAGAGAAAAATGTAAAGCAAAATTCTAGTATCTACCAGAGAACCTTTGAAAATAATTTTGTAATTGCTGCATTTTTTCATTAGAAATTATTTTATAATTGCTTGAACTTTGTTAGAAATTATTTTAACTACAATTCTGGTAATACATTTTGATTTTTAAAATGTATTTATATGGACTTGTTTGTAAATGTGTTTCTTGGACACCAAGTCACACACATGAATTATGTTATAACCAAGTTGGAAGTAGAGAAAAATTCTGAACTTCAAGTACATGGAAGTATGTACTTTTCTGTCTAAAAAAGGTAGTCCATGATTGATTTGGGTTCATTTAGAATTGTATTTTCTTTCCTTCCAAAGGAGTGAATATGACATCTCCGCCATGACTTATTTCAATGTGACTTTTCAGCACAAGAAGATAGAGGGGGTTCACAGGAGTGGACTACAAACTTTCAGGTAAAGTATCAGAAATATTTTATGGCAAACCAACTCATTGTGCCATTTCATTTAAAAAATGTTCAGTGAATCCTCAGTATTTGCCAGGAGCCTGCCTATGAAGTAATAAGCAACACCAGATAAACTCCTTCCCTCCAAGGACTTACATTGCAGCCGGGTGAGAAAGACACGCATAAACATGTGTGTCACAAGTGGTGGCTCAGGGCCAGGGAACAGAGAGTGATGGGGATTCTTTTAAATTGGAAGGTGAAGGACAGCATCTCTGATAAATAGTGGTATGATTAGAGATTGGAATAAAGTGATAGAGGGAGTAAAGTGGATTGTGTTCTGGGCAGAGGAAGCTGTAAGTGCAAAAGTTTTGAGGCAGAATTTTACTTTTCATGAGAATAATGTAAGGATATAGATAGGGAGTATTCCAAAGTGTTTCAACAAGTCTCATCATTAGTTATTGCTATTTGGAAGGCTTTTAATTAATATTTTACTTAAAAATGTTAGTCTCCAAGCCATTAGGGCAGTTGATGAAGACATTTTAGGCCAGAATATAGGATGGACAGAAATGTGAGTCCACTCAGTATCAGAGATAGGACATTCCTGAAGGTAGAGTGTCACAGGGCATGTAACCAGGGCCACTGTATCTCTGCCTTGGTAGCAAACCTTTCTCTCTCTGTTGCTTCTCCAGGCTTCACACTCATTGCATTGCTTGCAGTTGGTTCTTAGAACATCCTGGAAGTGCACTATGACTCTTGGACCATAAGTGTATGAACAAAGCTCTGCAGAAATCATAGTGGTATGAAATCTTCTTTTGATGACAGGGTTATAGGAGAGGCACTGATATTTGAACTGGGTTTTGAAAGATGGGTAGGAGTTTGTGATATGGAGTTGTGATTGAGGGGGTCGATTTGTGAACAACCTTAATTGCCACACTAAGGAGTTCACACTTGATGCCCCGGACAAAAATAAGATCAGGGAGCCATTCCTTCTCTTTAAGTGTGGAAATAAAGTTCTGAGATTACAGCTTTTGAAACATTGTTCAGAAAAAATATGGATTGCTGGGTCTGGAGACAAGAGGCTGAGAACCTGAGATGCTATCAGGTTTAATTTCCCTCTTGGGAATCAGTAAACTCTTGAAGTACAGAGGATACCAAGGAATGTGTATGGCTGGACGCCTTACCTGACAGAAGTAGCTTTCCATGAAATTCATATTCAGACCTCCTTCTCTACATTCCCTCATGGAGCTTCTTCTTAATGTTCCAGGATATTCTGGACATATCTCAGGTGCTCCTGATGCTTTAACTCCATCCATTAGTTCAAATCCTGTTGTTCTTTCTCCTCCTCCCAGATCTTGCATTTCTCTGCCACAGTAGTCATTGGTATAAACTCCTAAAAATATTGATCAAATTAAATTTACTTTTGGTAGTATATCATGCACTGAAAATTAACAACTTATAATAATATATTGTCTTCATTTAAGTATGCATTTGTGAGCGAAGAAATAAAATGAAGATCATATATAAAGGAGACATAAATGTGATGTTGAGTTTAAAATAATGTTATTAATTGATTTGTTAATATGCCAATTATTTGTTGGAGAATTGTTAAAAGCTGTGCTGGAAGTGATGGTTGCATAAAGGTTACAAAAACTTATTCCTTGAAGAGTTTGGTTTCAAACTGAGGGAAATTGGGGGCGGGTAACTTAAATTCTAAAATTTAAAAAGCGGCATAAGAACCCCTCAACAGGCATCCAGATGAAGGCAAGAACCACTGACTTACAGAAGAGGTCATAGCTATGATGATGAGAAAGGTTTTCATGGAGGATCTTGCTTTTGCACTTGAATCTGAAGCACAGTGGAAGCGTTTTACAATATTGGAGGCAGATGAGATAAAATGACGGGACAATGGAAATGACGTGGAAGGAGGAATGTTGACAATAGAATAGGTGTCTCATAGCTTAAATGTTCTAAAGATCTTAAGTTTGAAGACACTAGGTTTTTCATATTTCAGTTACCCTGGTGCCTCTCTTGGTGCTTTGGTTGACATTTCTGCAAATGTTTGCAGACATAATAAAGCAATAAATTCAAAAGTAGGGACTGGCACTGTGGCAATAGTAGCTTAAGTCTATGCCTGCAGTGCTGGCATCCCATATGGGTGCCGGTTCAAGTCCTGGCTGCTCCACTTCTGATCTAGCTCCCTGATAATTGCCTGGGATTGGAGCAGAAGATGGCCCAAATGCTTGGGCCCCTGCACCCACAAGGGACACCCAGAAAAAGCTCCTGGTTTCTCACTGGTCCAGCTCTTACCATTGTGGCCATTTGGGGAGTGAACCAGTGGATGGAAGATCTCTGTCTCTCTCTCTCTGTCTGAAACTCTGCCTCTCAAATACATAAATAAATCTTTAAAAATATAAGTGCATAAATAAATGTGGGTGGATCTGATGATGACACCAGTCATGAGAACTGACTGCGTGCCAAAAAGGAAAGGGAAGAGTCAACAATGAATTTCCACTTTTGAAGTGAGGGGATATTAGTGTCATTAATAAAAACGAATGCATCAGGAAAAAAAATAGACTTAAGGACAAGCATATGGAGATTCTTGAATAAGACAATGTCTTATTCAAGAACATGTTTTAATGCCTGTTACACGTTTAGAGCATTCAAATTAGGAAGTTATGATTACTAGTTTGAAAAAGACCAAGAGAAAGAAAATAACATTTACCTCAAAAGAGGTAAGATGACAACTATTTTCAAAAGTTGAGAAGTTCTTTAAATTAGAGTTGAGGTTATGTGTGTTACAAAGTTCAGATTGTTTCCTGATTTCTACCTGTGACCTGCTCTAGATTCCCATGTTAAGACGAGTTGTATATATACAGAGGTGTGCAAGGAGAAATCCCATCACACACACACAACCTCAGCTGAGAGCTTTGATAAATTTTGATAGTGTTTCACTTATTTACCTTTGATTTAAGAAATTGGATAAAGCTTATTTAGGCCAACCTTTATGTTGATGCTGAAAAGGGATGTAGTGTTTTTTCTGTCATTATAAACAGGTAAAGGTAGAAGAGTTTTGAATTATTAAACAAATCATGAAGGAAGAGTCTAGCCTCAGGAAGTGAGTACAAATCTATTTTAATCCGGTGTGCTTTAATTGGTATATATGCATGTTATATTTATACATGTATGTATATGTATATATTACATGTATGTATGTGTATATATGCTATATGTATACGTGTATATATATACACATATTATATTTTGGGGGGTGGTAAATGATGTTTGCTCTATGAGATAAAAATCTCAACCCCACTTGGCTCAGGAGTACACTTCAGTACTTATATTTATAGAGATCCTAATTGTGTCATTTTCTAAATACTCTCTGATGGTTGAGAAAGATTCAAAAAACTATAGAGTATAAGAAAAATAATTATTGTAGGTTTTCTCTTATCATTTGATTTATAAATTAGTAATTATAAAACAAATGATATAAACACTTTGAAAGACAAACAAGATCGTGAATAAATAGTAAGGCAAGCTAAAGGAGAGAACAGAGTTCCCTCTTAGTCATTTGAACTGTTAAACTTTTTTTTTCTTACCTGAATTGTCAATGCATTCTATTATATTTGCATTATCAGGTGGCATTTGTGGTACACAGATAGTGGCCAAACCCTAAAAGACAGGCAACATTTTCTCATTTGTAATGAGTTTTTTCTTTATATAGTTATACATGTATTTTATATTCAAATCACTGTAGATTTCCTAAAAATACCATTGAAGAAATGTTTGAAACCTGTTTAAAACCTGGACCTCATTTGAATGTCTTCTTTGGTATTCCCATATAACTGTGATATACTGTTGGTTCCTCCTCATTTTCCCCATTAGCTATCTTAAAGCACAGCATAGATGGTGGGTGAGTATTGCCAGCATCTCTGTATGTGTAGACTGAGTTTAGGTGATAACCAAAGGTCAGTTCTTCCAGGGAGAACTTACAGTGGGTTCAGGCTGGGGTCCTTCAACTGCCCATGGATGAATCGCTCCATCTGAACATTCCGGAACAGGCTCGAAGCCGGCTCCACCACCAGAGGCACCTCCACAGTCACAACAGAGCAACAAAAATGGAACCACTGAAGGTAGAGAGAGAGGAATACTGGAGTTAACCAATGGGCTCATAGTAAAGCAAAAAAATCTGCTTTTAAAAATGGTTAAATTTGAATTCCTTCTATAAATCCATGTGATTCCAACATTATTATGAAAGTTCAAGAAAACAAGTTGAATAAATGTCAGTATCTTAGAAAATCCTCAGTATACTAGACTCTAATCAGCTTGCCTTTGTTTATAGTATTAAAATTACAAATAGTATTATAATGTTATAACAGGCAACTTTCCCTTGTCATTACTCAGGAAAATATTAAGGGAGAGAGGGGAAACTGGAGAGCCTGCATGAAATGTTTCTCTCTGTGTATTCTCCTTCACACCTTATTGATTTTTCTCCTTTCACATGTATTTGTCTTTATACAGTAAAATATTTTTCATGCTTCCAGCAATTACTCTCATTGAGACTGTTATTTTCTCTTACACAGATATCTTTACATTTTCTTTAAATGACTCTTGCATGAATACAAAACATCACTGCTTAACCATGTCTTTTGCTGTTAATCAATTAGAGTTTTTTCATCCACCTGTTTATTACCAGCCTTGCATAGAATATAATCTTGATCTCTGATTTTGAATGAATGCATGAATGAAAGAAAGGATGTGCAGATGAAAATATGAGGAAAGAAGGAAGAAAACAGAAGGAAGAGAAGGATAAAAGAAGAAAAGAATCCTATGTGTTTTGCTTTTTGGAAAATCTGCTGGATTAACTGAACTCTTTCCATCTAGAAGCATTTCTCTAAGTCCTAAAAAAGCTTTAAAATCTTTTATTAGCCATACAAGGCTAATAATATTATATGCCTTGTATGGCTAATAAAAGAAATTCTTTAAAAATGAAAGAAACTCCAGTTTACAAGTAAATTTAGTGAAAAATGTCTGTTTATGGCTGTTCATGTATTAAGAGAAATGAAATTAGAAAAAAATATTTTATATGTATGTGCTCTGACTTCACATTGTGTGTCTATGTGTTAGTTATCTGAGGTATCTTTTGACACTAAAATTTTATGATTTCACACTTGAGAATGGCAGTATTTGCATCAATTTAATTTTAATGTACAGATTTCAACTTGCTCACTTTAGAGCTCTTGTTGTTCCTTAGAGATTGTAGCATGTGGCTCATTTCCACCTTAATTTTATAGCATCATCCAAGGCAATGCTAAAAACCACTTGGAGAATTCATTGGATTCTACCCACATGGCTAGAACCTTGACTAGTGCTACATTAAATGTGCTCAATGCTTCATGTGTGGTATATTTTTTTCATCATTAGAGCAATAATGTTAATTAAGTTTTGTTATTTCACAGTTGACCAAAGCAATGTCCTGAAAGGCTAGGTAAACTGTGAAAAACTCAAGCAATTAAGTTTAGAAACTAAAGTTGAACCTTAGGTCTCTTTGAGTCTTCTTTTAACAAGCTATGCATTTAGTATCACATAAAATCCCTTCAAGATGCAGCCTCTGCTAGTCTCTGACTTTTTTTTTTTTTTTTTTTTTTGTACAGGCAGAGTGGACAGTGAGAGAGAGAGACAGAGAGAAAGGTCTTCCTTTTTGCCATTGGTTCACCCTCCAAAGGCCGCAGCCGGCGCACCGCACTGATCCGATGGCAGGAGCCAGGTACTTATCCTGGTCTCCCATGGGGTGCAGGGCCCAAGCACTTGGGCCATCCTCCACTGCACTCCCGGGCCACAGCAGAGAGCTGGCCTGGAAGAGGGGCAACCGGGACAGAGTCCGGTGCCCCGACCGGGACTAGAACCCGGTGTGCCGGCGCCGCAAGGCAGAGGATTAGCCTAGTGAGCCGTGGTGCCAGCTAGTCTCCAACTCTTAACTACCCTATCACAAGTATCTTCTTTTCTTTCATATTGGAGTTCTTTATTTCAGTCCCTTGTACTTTTATTCTTAGAAAATCTTACATGTAGACTCTTTTTTTCTCTTTCTATTGCTTTCCCTTTCTTTTGTCTGTCAGGCTAACTTCTATTCATTTGTTGAACCCCAACTCAGTTTGCTTTCTCAGTGCAGCCCTTTCTGAATGTTTCAACAAATTATTTCTGATTATCTTTGTCCTTCGGATAGCAACTTGAGCTTGTTTGTTATGGCACCTTTCATTATACTGAGCTTTACTAAAAATGCATGTTTGTTTTTAAGTCTTATATACCTAGCATGAAATAGACATTTCTTGATAATTGCACAAAATATGAATTTGTAAAACATATTTGATGAAAGACTCAGAAAACATATTTCCTTTTTGATCATTTTGGGCAGGGGGCACATATGGATAGGATAAAGTACTTACATCCCAGCACCAAGAAGCCCATGATGAGTAATCCGATGCCAGCAGGACCAAAGTGTACATTATCTGAGAGTCTTTGCCGACCATCATATCCGCTTGTTTCACCGTCACCGGCATTTGTGTTGGTGTTAGTGTTTTCATTAGTGGAAGAATTCTCATCTGTGCCACCAATGGTACCACCTCCATTATTTTCATTGGTATTGGTATTGGTATTGGTATCAGTATTGGTACTGGTACCACCTGTGTTGGTACCTGCATTTGTACCTGTTTCTCCACCTCCACCTGTTTCACTTCCTGTATTGCTACCTGTATTAGTTTCAGTTCCAGATACCCAGCCAGACCCATCAAGGTTGATAATAACTGTACCAGTGCAAGTTCTTTGAAGTGAATCTGTAACAAGTTTGAAAATGGAAAACATTTTTTATCCATTTAGGGTCATAATTTTTGGACAATACATAATTATTTTCTTTATTCATCAATAGTTATTTCAATATCCCTTGTCTGTGACTCAATTTTAAATCTATTTATTACTATATAATTAATCTAATTACTAGTAGTACTACTATTTACTGGATTACTTCTTTATATTATAAACAGAAGACACTACATATAATTTTAAAACTATAGAATTACAGAAAGATACAAATAAAAAAAAATCCTCATAGTAGCAGTACACAGGGACAACCCTACTGATATTTTTGACGACATTTTGTTTTTAACTATAATATTTAAGTATTTCTTATTGTTAGTTACATTGATACAGCCATGTGAATAATTCTATTTTATTAAAAATTCTATTTTATGAAAAATATTCTTTCATCTTACTATTATTTTCATTAACATAGTTTCTGATAAGGACATAATTTTTATGAAGTAGACCATGATTTATTTACTTAGTTACCTACTATTGATATTGTATTCAATATTTAATTATAAAATCAGTGTTGTAATTAACATTTCTGTGCATTTAGCCTTTTTATTTATTATTTTTCCTAAAGTTATTGGAAATGGAATTACTAAGTAAAAATGTAAGAGTAACTTCAGGTAACTTTTGTTAGTACTGGCAAATAAATGCAAGCTTAGTATTCTTTGTTCATCGATATAAGTCTACAGCCTGGCCCAGTGGTTGACATTTAGTCAGGACCCAAGATATACTTTCTGAATAATTGAATAAAAACATCTCCGGAATAGGTTTAGATCCAGTCTGCTCATATCTAAGTCAATGCTCCTTCAGCTCAGTTCTGTTCACGCTGTTGTTGCTTTTATTATTTTTATAAGACATCTAAGCATATGTATACATAGTTTCCTCTACAAGGAAGAGAAGTTGATTTCTTACCATCTATAGACAGAATTGTTCCTTGATATCTTCCTCTGAGCATTTCGTGTTGTTCCATGGTAACTCTGTTCCTCAAAGTGATGACGCCTGTTCTTGAGTCAATAGACAGCAGGTCGGCTGGATTATTCCCCATTACGTATCTGCATTTGCAAGAAAACAATAAATACTAATGTCAGCCACCAAAGAAAGAAACATTTTAGTTATTTAATAAATATTTTTCAGTTACTACTTACAACCCTTGGATAGAGTTTTCAGTTATCACAGATTTTTTTTTTTCCCACTAGAGCAGTCGCAGTTATATTGAGCCACTTAGAAGTAAAAAAAATATAAATTAAAAAAAATTGCTGAGCAGCCATTTCTGGTGAAATGTCTTTTTATGCCTACTTGAGTGTCAGAATAATCCCTTGATGCTTGCAGTCTCGTTTTAATTTGATCTTAGTAGCTGTAGAACTATCTTGAAATACCAAATCTTAGGATCTTCTGGGCTATTCCTATTCTGAACTGTTCTAAGAAAGAGTTACTTCACGTTCATCAGCTTGGCCTGCACTCCCTGCTCTTTGCTCTCCTGCTCCATAGGTGCGAAGTGACTTGGCAAAGCTTCTTTTGAAATGTCCTTGCCTGAAGCCTCTGTCATATTCTCCTTCTCTCCTCATCTTTGGCTCCTGTGTTTTCCCTCTTCTTTACACGCTTGTGAGACAAACACTAATTAGATGACTCTCTGTCTCGGGCGGTTTGCTAACCTGAAGGAACAGAGCTTTGAGAGGAGTAAGGGTGGGGAGGGGCCGCCTGTAGCGAATGCACTTCTGTGGGGTACAAGGATGCTCCTTAGTGATGGTGGTCCAGTATGGTAGGAGAACAGAGCAACTGCCACTGTGTGAGGAGAGCACTGAGAAAACTTTTCAAGCACATTTCTGAGGTCTTTCACCTGATCTTCATCCTGTGCACATGTACATACAACCTTTTCACGATTAAGCAGAAATATTCAGATACACAGTGTTTAAAAATGACATAGCACACATTTAAAAATGACATAGCACTGAAGCTGGGATGCGGGCAGGGAGCGTGGCAGCCTCCCCAGGGACTCGTGATCATCTTGCCCCACTGGGTCTGCTTGCTGGCTGCCAGCTCATGAGGCCACTCAGCGCATAAAAAGTGTGCTATGTCATTTTTTTCATACCAAAATTACTGACCAATAGTAAGCGCTGATGAATGTGAAGAAACTAACTGAAATGAACGAACTAAATCCAGTAGATTTCCAGCTAAGCAAACTTGCACCAGGAAAATCAGTTGCATCTTCTTGAAGAGAATAATCACAATATGGGCAATCAACTAATTATCAGTAAGCATAGGAGAGCTGCCTTTTTCCAGGCATACTATTTTTCACATCTTTACAGTTCAACATCTTACACATTTAACAAAATTTTTAATATTTTATGTCAAGTATTCAAAATTAAGTAAGTTAAACAGTGCTTTTTACAATGAAATGACTGTTTCAAAAATTAGGAAAAGTATTTTAATTTAGATACTTAAAATTTCTAAAAAGAGTATACTTTAGTTCAATATGTGGAGGAAATGAGTTGGAAAATGTCATTCATACCTTACACTTGTTGAAGGTAGATTTGTGTCCAGGTCAGTAGCTACGAACTCTCCCACTTTAGAATTTGCTTTCATGTTACTGGTTACTACAAATGTCTTTGAACCTGGACGGAATACGGATCCTTCAACTACATTCAAGACAGTCACGGAGATTGCAGTGGCTGTGAGTTTATATTGAGACATAATTGAATGATGAAATTCAGCTTTATTTCTAACACCAATACTAAGTTGCAGATTCTTCATGTCTTCATAATCTAGGGGCTAGAAAATACAGAGTGAAATCATTTTACTCAGAGAAAACATGAAAAGAGAGATGAAAGAGAGGCCCTTTGAGAATACTTTAAAACTTCATACTTTCTTTTCTTTAATTAAATATAAATGCATGTGAACACACAAGTTGATCTTTAATTCAATGCAAACATGTGCAAACATAGTAAGAAAACATCCAAATGTTCTAGATCTATTATTGAGACAGTTGAAAATGTCTCACTGTGTAAATATCATATGAGCTTTACTTATCTACTAAACCAAGTAAAAACTTAAAATGCTTCTAATGGTCAAATTCATGTATTTTATAGTACAAGGATAATTTATGTTAGCTTCAATCATTTTATGTTTCTCAGAAAGAAGCTCTTTTAATATAAGACATGGGCCAAATATATTGGAGGTTCAATTATTTCACTGGTTTTATCCTTAAGAACTTTTTAGGAGAAATTTTACATATATATACATATATATACATATATATGTGACTTTGAATAAATCAGGCAATATAATATAATATATACATAACATAAATAAATCTTTATTTTCTTCAGCATAGTCTAAGAATAATTTATCTTATAATATGAAGTAATCAAGAAATGATTTCATTATGAGATATCAGCATCTTACATATATTATATATATGATGATATTTCATATTTGATGTCAGCCTGGAAGAAAAATCATCATCCCCATTTTATAGATAGGATATTGAAGACAGGTTGAATGGTTTCCTAAAGTAATAATTTGCAGTGGATATTTTGCAGATAATAATTTGCAGTGAAGTAGATCAGGACTCAATTTCCCTACAATAGAATGTTAGCTACTATGTCGGAAAAAATGTGAACCTTGTAGCTAGGGAAACTCAGGTTTGAATTTTTGTTGTACCACTTACTAGCTATGAGAATGTGAGCAAGTAGTCTGTCTGAGCCTCAATGCTTTTAACTGCAACATGGACATGATATAACCTAATTTGCAGGGCTGCTGCAAGGAATAAATTAAGTATCTGTTTGAAGTTTAAAGCATGGCTGGGGTAGGTGTTAGTCTAGTGGTTAAGATGCCCTCATTCCATACCAGACTGCCTGGTTAGAATCTTGGTTGCTGTCTAGATTCTGGCTTCCTCCTGATGTGAACTCTGGGAGATAGCAGGTGATGGCTCAAGTGGTTGGGGCCCTGTCATCCACATGGGCTTCCTAGTTCCTGGCTTCCTAGGCATTTGTGGAGTGAATCAGCAGATGGAAGTTCTGTCTGCCTGCCTCTCTCTCTTCTTCTATGGTAAATAGATAAATAAATAACTTTCTTTAAAAAAAGATTTATTTATTTGAAAGAGTTACAGAGGCAGAGAGAGAGAGAGAGAGAAAGAGAATGAATCTTCTATCTGCTGGTTCAGTCCCCAAATGGCCATAACAGCCAGAACTGCATCTATCTGAAGCCAGGAGCTTCTTCCAGGTCTCCCACATGGGTGCAGGGGCCCAAAGACTTGGGCCATCTTCCACTGCTTTGCCAGGCTATAGCAGAAAGCTAGATCAGAAATGGAGCAGCCAGGACTGGAACCAGTGCCCATATGGGATGCCAGTATTGAAGGAGGAGGCTTTAGCCACTATACCACAGCACCGGCCCTGATAAATAACTTTTACAGTAAGTGGAAACTATAGGCATGCTGACATAGAGGGAAAAGGCGCACATTCCCACGGGGACATAATTCCTTAGGAACCTGTTCCCCACAGCTATTCTGAATGAAAGGATTATTTTAACAAGGATTGCATTTTTCTGTGAAGAATATATTTTGCTGGTATCATGTAGAATCCATACACAGCCATCTCAGGTTTTAAAAACTGACTCCACAAGTCTTGTAGCACAGGGAAAGACCTTTATTAACAGCTCTATAGGAGTCATTTTGTTCTGTCTGATGAAATTCTACTGCAGGTAAATATGTCTGATCCTTAATAGAGGAGGCATGCGAAAATACTAGCTTGTACTAAATCAAGGGCGCATTTGTGCTCCTAATAAGCCAAGGTCAGGCGTCACAGTGACGTGGGAACATGATAGTTCTATAGTTACAGTAATCTAATTTTAATTTTTGAAAAACACATAGGAAGAATAAGCAACATTTAATTTACTTGATGAATATTCTTCATGCATAATTGACTTACCATATTGACATGAACACATCATTAAAGCCTATGTTAAATGTGCTTTTAAAAATAGTCTTAAAACATGAACCTTAAGGATTAAGAATACTTCGTTGTAAGAATAAAGTAAGATTGTTGTTAACATGCTTTCAATGTGCGTGATTTGTTCATCTTTTGGGAAATACTGTACTGATGAAAAAGAATTTCAATTTACAATTCAGTGTCTTTTTTTATGAAATGATATAAGCAAAACTACATAAAAAGCTGTATGATATATACAAATGTAAAACAATTATTTTACTCTTTCTCTGACTCGTTTATAAAATGTTAATATTTTATCTTAAGCTTATTTTTTCAATTATCTATTATTTTTCATATTTTTAACACATGAAAATGTCCTACTATCATTAATTATACATATTTATGGGGTATAGTATGACATTTCAATGCATGTATACAATGTGTACTGATAAAATAAAAAAGATCGGGGCTGGCATTGTGGCACAGTGGTTAACCTGCCGCTTTCAATGTCGGCACCCATATCAGAGTGTGTTTGACCACTGGCTGTTTCTTTTGATTCAGCTCCCTGCCAATGCACCTGGGAAAGTGACAGAAGATGGTGAAGGCCTTGGGTCCCTGCTACCCATGCAGGAGACCGAGATGGATTTCCAGGTTCCTGGCTTCAGCCTGGACCAGCCCCAGCCATTGTGGCCATTTGGAGGGTGAACCAGCAGATGGAAGATCTCTTTCTCTCTCTGTCTCCCCTTCTCTCTGTGTCACTTTGTCTTTCAAATCAATAACCCAAGTCTTAAAAAAAAAGCATAAAAAAGACCAAGAAAAAATACTTAGGGAAATTATGCCATACCTTAATAACCCTTAGAAATCCCACATTTGTTCTTTCATTCATTACTATGTCAAACCAATTGCCTTCATTTCCAGAGATAAAGAAAGGTACCGCCACCCAGTTAGCTGAGTACTCTTCATCCAAATCAATCACTCTAATCTGGAGCAGTTCTGAATTGAGGGCGTTTTCTTCAATACTGACGGAATACTGAAACGAGAAGTAAAAAAACCTTTAACACCAACTGTGTGAATGAAAGGACAAACTGGGTGTACGCAGGAATCTTTATAGTTGTTCATTATTTCAAACAGATATGTGTTGATAATCTTGCTTTTCATTGTTTTCCCTATTATCTAATCCAATATAAGAGAAAAGTATGCATACTTTGATTGTATAGTACTGAATTTAACATGTATATGACTATATAGAATTGTTAGTATATATTTTAGGATGTAATGAGTTTGAAGTCATTATTTTCAAGAATAAATACTTACTGAAGACAGTTCCAACAATGGAATGTTGTCATTGACATCAAGGATTTTAATGTTGCATTCACATTCTGCTGACAAGCCATCTGCCCCACCGTCTCTGTCTGAGCCTCTTACAGCAAGAGAATACTGGCCATATTGCTAAAAACATAAGCAACACCACAGTTGACACAGACAGGTCTTATTGTGTTTTATGTAAAGTCCTGTAAAGTTGTTGGCTCAACATCGACATAAATCTAAGTGAGAGAGGTAGCACAGAATATTGAAGGAGTGTGTTTGAGGGAGGCATTGAGAAGGAGAGAAGGAAGTATGGTTATCTTCTTTTAATTATATATATTAATACATCAAATCTGTTCTTATAATAATAAAAATTTAAAAAATTAAACAACCTAAGACAATCATATTTGTTAAAAAAAGAAAATCCATCAGTCTCACATGGATCACTAGAGAAGTTTCTACTTCCATTCCCAATGATGTTCATCCAGCATCATTTAAAAGAAGCAATACTTTTTTAAAGTTCTTATTCTTTTTGAATCCTAACATGTCTAGAGGTGGATTAACTTATAAATAATGAAATGGAGTAAAATACTCAAGAGGAGAGAGGTTAAGACTTATTAAAAGTTCGAGAAAGGAAAATTCCACACACTAAATCATCAGTCCCGGGTGTGCAAGAATAACACAGGAGTAACCAATGGTTATATTTTGGCGAGGTGGAGGGCATGGCAACGGAGTTATTGATGATGTATCTATTCTTGATTGTACATTTTTAGATGCAAAAATAGTATGGAGCCTTTTCTAGACTATTTAAAATGCCTACTCATTCAAATTTATGGATGTAATTTTAGGGGATTAATAGAGACATCTGAGGGCTCTCCATAGACCCCAGGTGAAAATATGCTTCTTAATGACTGCAAAGTCCTTTTACCTCTGACATCCCTTTCTTAGAGTGCTTTACCAATAAAGGTATTTTGACAATGAAGGAATCACATTGGGAAGCCTAAAAAGAATTGAATGAGGTTGTCAATCTCTTCTAATGTTAATTTATAAACAAGTAAATCTCTTCTAATTATAAACAAGTCAATCTCTTCTAATGTTAATTTATAAACAAGTAAAAAAAGATTTAAGTAGACTAGAAAGTGATAACCTTGGATCATTGAAGAGTATAATAACAATCTAATTTAGTCCCATGCTAGGAATTATTAGCAGGAAAAATTTTAATATAATTTTATATAACTATAATAGTTAAATGAAGTTTAAATATCAGTTAAAAAAGAATACCTCAGGGCTGGTGCTGTGATGCAGCAATTAAAACCCCAGGTTGCCGCCCAGGAATCCCATATGGGTGCTGGTTTAAGCCCCGGCTGTTCCACTTCTGATCCATAGCCTTACTAATGGCCTGGGAAAGCAGCAAAAAGATGACTCAAGTGCTTGGGACCCTGCACCCACGTGGGAGACCTGGAAGAAGCTCCTGGTTCCTGGCTTGGGCCTGGTCCAGCCCTGGTCATTGCAGCCATTTGGGGTCTGTCTCTACCTTTCTCTGTAACTCTGCCTTTCAAATAAATAAAACAAATATTAAAAAAAATACTTCATCACTTATATTCCGAATATATGGACAGGCAAACTCTATATTATTTAAAAGTGATATTTTAAAAAATGAAAAAGTAGATTTAAAAATTAAATCATGGAACCACATGGCATGCTGATTGTAATTCATTCACAATCACTAGTTGTTTTCTTATTTGTATATTAGAAGATTGTCCTGGATTTTATCTAAAGCCTCATATTCATTCTATTTATCATTCTGATTCTAGGATTCTTTCTGTAGGGTAAATGAATTGGTGGGCTGTCAATATTTGTTACTTAGAAAGAAAATAGAAAGTTCTGTTCTTAAAGGAGCTTGAGATATGCTGATTTAAGAAAGATAAGCAAATTTCATAGTTCTGCAAATATTCTTATCCCATGCATTGTGATGCACAAAGAAAGTGATGTAATAAATATTTCTTTTATTTATTTATTTGACAGGCAGAGTGGACAGTGAGAGAGAGAGACAGAGAGAAAGGTCTTCCTTTGCCGTTGGTTCACCCTCTAATGGCTGCTGCGGCCGGTGTGCTGCGGCCGGCGCACCGCGCTGATCCGATGGCAGGAGCCAGGTACTTATCCTGGGCTCCCATGGGGTGCAGGGCCCAAGTGCTTGGGCCATCCTCCACTGCACTCCCTGGCCACAGCAGAGAGCTGGCCTGGAAGAGGGGCAACCGTGACAGAATCCAGCGCCCCGACTGGGACTAGAACCCGGTGTGCTGGCGCCACAAGGCGGAGGATTAGCCTAGTGAGCTGCAGCGCCGACCCATAAATATTTCTTAAATTTAGTTCATTGTGGAATTTTTAAATGAAACTCTTGTCTTTACCTTATGCAAATTTGTGTACCTCCATGATATAGTTTTCCTAAAATTAAGGCAAATTCTAATTAATTAGTTACATAAAAATGTCATTGAAATGTAATTAAAGAATAATCTATATGTCTTATGTCATTACCTTGATGAAAAAAGATTGCATAATTAAAATTTTAAAATACTATTTTCTTTTTCTATTTCTCTCTTAGGTTCCTTTGTTTTTAGAATCAACTCCCTTGAGACTAAAAACCTATTTAAAGAAAAAGAATTACCTCTCTGTCTAGAAAATTATTCATTGTTCGAATTTCTCCCGTGTATCTGTTGATGATAAACATTGGTGAATCAGAAGGCTGCTGACTTATGATCTTGAAGGCTATTTTTGAGTTCAAATTGTTTGGTTCATCTGCATCAGTAGCATTGAGTCTCATCACAAGTGTATCTAGAAAACAAGGAAAATTGATTGAAAATGGATAATTTACATTTTTTATTACAGTATACTATATTAGTTTTCTAAACAGATTTTGGAGTGACTTGGTCCACATAATGTGCATTTTACTAGCTTCCCTTTCTTTCTACTTATTAATGTCTTAGCTTGTTTCTATATCTTTTTCTTAATAAAGAAAATGTATTATTCTCTCACTATTCTAGCATAATTCCTTCTTTTATAAAAATTTCCAAAGGATGCTAGAGGGAAATAAAATGATATAAAAGCCAGGTCAACTTTTCCCCAACCTTATACTTTCTGGCTATGTGATCTCAGCCTCAGTTTCCACATTTTATGTAATTGGGGATGATTAATGATCTCATCCTCTTTAAGTTCATGTAAGAACCAAATATGCAGTGAGAGAAATATATACAATTTCCATTTAATACTGTACATTTGGGGCTGGTGTTGTAGCACTTTGAGTTGAGTTGTCATCTGTGATGCTGGCATTCCATGCAAGAACCCATTCAAATCCTTGCTGCTCCACTTCCAATCCAGCTCCCTGCTAACGTGCCTGGGAAAGCAGTGGAAGATGGCTCAAATACTTGGATCTCAGCACCCATGTGGGAGGCCTGGATGAAGCTCTTGGGTCCTGGCTTCAACCTGGCCCAACCCTGGCCATTGTTACCACTTGGAGAGTGAACCAGTGGATGGAAGACCTCTCTCTCTCTCTCCCTTCCTCCCACCCTCCTACTCTCTGTAATTCTGCCTTTTCATATATAAAAAAACTTTTAAAATGTATGTTTAATTAATATATATTATTATTCTTTTGCTTGGTGATATCCTTAATGAAGTACTAGGTAATAAGCAGATTTAAAGAAATGTTTTTTAACTGTACACATTGTCCTGTTCTTTATCTTGTTTACTGACTTTATAAGTAGTTTTCATGAAGGATACTGAAGAATATGCAAAACTTCCACTGCCTGTCCATTCACCAGCTAAAATTCTTTTTTACTCTTCAGCTCTGCTTCACAGTTTTTCCACAAATATACTGGGGCATCTCCATATCTCTTGCTCTACTTCTCTCACTCTATCTCTGCATCTTAATTTTCACGTAATTTTAAAATGTTTTCAGTAGGCAATTAACTAATTATGTTATATTCATATAATCAAATCTAATGCATTATTAAATGTACTGAAGTAATCTAAAATGTCCTAAATGTAATTTAGTCCTAAAATGTAATTGTTTAAAAATATATATTTAAATAACAACTCAGTGTGGATTAGTATGTAAAAGGTGATCTCAGTTACATCTTTTTTTTTTTTTTAAGATCTCTTTTATCTATTTGAAAGATAGAGTTACAGAGAGAGGCAAAGACAGAGAAAGAGGTCTTCCATTGATAGTTCACTCCCCAGATGGCTGCAACGGTCAGAGCTGCACCTATCGAAGCCAGGAACCAGGATCCTCCTCTGGGTCTCCCACATGAGTGCAGGGACCAAAGAACTTGGGCCATCTTCTGCTGTCATCCCAGGCCATAGCAGAGAGCTGGATCAGAAGAGGAGCAGCAGGGACTAGAACTGGAGCCCATATGGGATGCTGGTGCTTCAAGCCAGGGCTTTTTTTTAAACTTTTATTTAATAAATATACATTTTTAAAGTACAACTTTTGGATTATAGCAGTTTCCCCCCACCTCCCATAACCACCCTCCCACCTGCAAACCATCCCATTTCCTACTCCCTCTCCCATCCCATTCTTCATTAAGATTCATTTTTAATTATCTTTATATACAAAAGATCAACTTAGTAAATACTAAGTAAAGATTTCAACAGTTTGCACCCACAAAGACACACAAAGTATAAAGTACTGTTTGAAGACTAGTTTTACCATTAATTCGCATAGTACAACACATTAAGGACAGAGATCCTACATGGGGAGTAAGTGCACAGTGAATCCCATTGTTGATTTAACAATTGACACTCTTATTTATGGTGTCAGTAATCGCCCAAGGCTCTTGTCCTGAGCTGCCAAGGCTATGAAAGCCTCTTGAGTCCACAAACTCCGACCTTATTTAGACAAGGCCCATAGTCAAAGTGGAAGTTCTCTCCTCCATTCAGAAAAAGGTACCTCCTTCATTGATGGCCCGTTTTTCCACAGAGATCTTTCATTTAGGTAATTTTTTTGTCAAATCTGGAAAACATCATGCTGAGTGAAATAAGCCAGTCCCAAAGGGACAAATATCATATGTTCTCCCTGATCTGTGACAACTTACTGAGAACCTAAAAGGAAACCTGTAGAAGTGAAATTGACACTACGAGAAACAATGACTTGATCAGCCCTTGTCCTGACTGTCAAGGAACGGTTTACTATTTTATTCTTTTTAGTATTTTCTTGTTCTATTTAATACATCAGTTGAACTCTTTAATTAATCCACAATTATAGTGTTTAAACTTAACTGAAAATTGATTCCTGTTCAAAAGAAGAGTGGGGATGAGAGAGGGAGGAGATGTACAGTTCGGCACACACTCAGACTTACCCCTAATGGTAGAGCTAGTAACGTGCCATGGGACTCCAAATCCCATTAAGTTGTCATGTACCAATGCTATTTTACTAAAGTGATCAGTTTCAGTTCATAATTGATCATAAAGATAGGATTAAGTGTCAAAGGTATCACATAAATAAGACCAGTGTCTGCTAATAATAACTGATAGAATTAAAAAGGAGAGAAGATGGGAAGTGGGATACACAGCAGACTCATAGAATGGCAAATGACCTAAACAGCACTCTGGTCTCAGAATCAGCCCTTAAGGCATTCAGATCTGGCTAAAAAGCCCATGAAACTTTCTCAGGCATGGAAAGCCAGGCCAGGCCTTTAACCTGCTGTGCCACAGTGTCAGCCCCTCAGTTACATCTTAAGATATATTTTCTTACATTTATGCCATGATAGCATGTATGCACCTAAGTAAATGATGAGCATGCTTGTTTCCAAGGAATGATGCTAAGGAGAACAAAGAATGGATTTCTGTTCCCCTTTTCTTCCCATATTGTGGGAAATTTTAAAAATTTTTATTTATAAAAATTTTATATATAGTTTTAAGAGTACAATGATACTTCCTTTCCTACCTTCCCTTCTTTCCTCAACTCCCACCCTCTCTTTTCTTATTTTTCTTTTGATTTTTACAATGACATACTTTAATTTTTTTATAATCATAAGCTTAACCGTCTACTGAAAAAAATGTGGTAAGTAGAAAAACCACTGTCCCTCAAGAGTATAGATAAAGGCTGTAAATAATAATGAAATCTCAAAATGTTAATTTCTCACATATGCATTATATATTTTCTTATACTCTGTATATTAGTTTTTAAAAATAAGGGAAAACATGATATTTGTCTTTTTTGGAACTGGCTTATTCCATTAAGCATAATGGTCTCAGGTTGCATCCATTTTGCTGCAAAAGACAGGATTTCATTCCTTTTTATGGCTGAGTAGTATTCCATTGTGCATGTATATCATTACTTCTGTGCCTAGTCATCAGTAGATGGACATTTGGGTTGATTGCATATCTTGGCTATTGTGAATTGAGCTGCTATTAACATAGAGGTACAGATAATTCTTTCATATGCTGATTTCATTTCATTTGGGTATATTATCAAGAGTGGAGTTGCTGGGTCATATGGTAAATCTATTTTCAGATTTCTGAGAAATTTCCCTATGGTCTTCAGTAATGGTTGTATGAGTTTACATTCCCATCAACAGTGTATTAGAGTAACTTTTTCTGCACATTCTTGCCAGCATGTTTATTTTTGGATTTTTGGATGAGAGTCATTCTAACTGGGGAAAGGTGATACTTTGTTGTGATTTTTATTTGCATTTCCCTGATAGGGATCCTGAGCATTTTTTCATGTGTCTGCTGGCCATTTGTATTTTATCCTTTGAAAAATGTCTGTTTATATCATTTGCCCATTTCTTAACTGGATTTCCTGTATTGCTTTGTTAAATTTCTTGAGCTCCTTATACATTCTGGATATTAAGCCTTTATCAATGATAATTTTATAATAATATTTTAAAGCTTAATGTATACGTATTTTAATGACTAAAAGTAAAAATACAAGGAGTTTTGGAATGTTCAAGAAACTTGACTGCTTAAAGGGTAAAAGTAATTATGATAAATTGAAATTTTGTCTTCAAAGTAGTGACCATTCCTTTGGTTTTTAATGCATTTAGGACTATCTTTAGCAATATGCTAAGCAGCTCATATATTATCCCACTCCAGATGGATGGGTATTTGGCAATTAAAATGCTGTCAGTTACAATAATCCTGAAGGAGGCAGTTGCACTTTTGGATTGTCAAAGTCCTTTCAGGCAAAGGCTCTGAAGCTATGGTTTTTTTGGAATCCTCTGCTAGCACCACTTAGGACAACTGGCTTTAAATATGCCTAGTGGACCAAATAGAATTAGATGCATAATGACTTAAAACACATAAAATCAATGATGAGTAAAAAACCAACAAAATCTATATGACCTGCCTTCTCCATTTTCAGGTTTTGCATCACTAAATTTAACCTAACTATGGACTGAAACTACTGCACATGTACATACATTTATGGCCATTATTCTCTAAGCAATACAGTATAACAACTATTTATAGAAGATTCACGTGGTATTACATATTATAAGTCATATAGAGATGATGTAAAGTATATGGTGAGATTTGTATAATTTGGATGCAAATACTATGCCATTTTATATAAGGAATTTGAACACCTAGATTGTAGTATTTGCTGGAGGTGCTGGGACAAACGCCCAATGGATGCCAATACTTATTAGGTCATATATAAGAAGGGGAAAATACTGTTTTGCAAAAGCTCTTGATGACAAAATAGATTGTATTGAAGTGATTTCTATGATTGAGTGACTTTAAAGTAGTTAAGTTGAAAAAAATCAGTATGAGCAGAAGTGGGTAAGAATGGGCAGCAATCTCATTGGGAAGCTAAATTCTCATCCAAGTGCCCCTGCTGCCCCTGTGTAAACTACAATGGGAATTTCCTGTTGGGAATCTCCTACAGTGGTAGGATACGAATTACATGAGAAAAACCTCCTCATTGTTCAGAGTTGCTCCTTGTGTGTAACAGATTGGATCTGCCCCTGTAGCTGAGGAGAAAGCTTTCTGGGTCTGACACTAGGGTGTAGTAGGTCAAGCTACTACCTTCGATGCCAGCATCTCATGTGGACCCTGGTTTGTATTTGGCTGCTCAACTTCCATTCCAGTGCCCTGCTAATGGCCTGGGAAAAGCAACGAGAGATGGTCCAAGTGTTTGGGCTTCTGCCACCAATATCACCCAGATGAAGCTCTTGGCTCCTGGCTCCATACTGACCCAGTGCTGGCTATTGTGGCCATCCGAGGAGTAAACTAGAGGATGGAAGATCTCTCTCTCTCTTTCTCTTTAACTCTGAATTTCAAAATAAATAATTTTTTTAAGGAAGGAAAGACTTTCTATTCTGCATGCTGTTCTGTAACTTATCTTCACATCTGCAAGTACACCTTTATATAGTTTGACTTCTAATTTCCTGAGTATCTGGAAGAGTGCTTGATAAGGTACTTATATTACTTACTTGCATTAGAATTTTCTTCTATTTGTCCTAGAAATGTAGTCATTGAAAATACTGGAGGGTTGTCATTTATATCCAAAACCCTGACTCGGAGTTCCAGAGGCCGCTCCAGATCCTGGCCTTGTGAGTTTAGAGCCCGGCAGTAGATCTAGGAGAGAAAAGAGGAATAATTAGATGTTGAAACACATATTGAGTTCTAGCTTGCTAGGCACTGTGGGAAGTTAAAAGAAAGATGTTATTATTTGCTACTAGAAATTAGGCATAAGTAGCATTTATAATCAATAAGAGATGGCAAATACAAACACAAAATATATTTTAAGAAAAGGTAACGTTATAAGTTACAATAATATATACAAAATAATAACACAAAATACTATGAGCTGTCAGAGGATGTAAAGATTGAAGTAGGTCTCAAGGAATTTCAGTAAGTGGGACTGGGAATTGGTGAGGTGTTCCAAGCAAAGAGAGTCATATAAGGAAAGAAAGAATGATACAAACACAACTTTTGAAATTAGGAATAGGAACTGTTGGGAGGGTTTTAAAATTAGGTAAAGGAGGATCTCTTGGGAGCATACAAGAGATGTATCATTCTTGAGCTAGGTAGCTGTTATATGGGTTTTGTGTTCAAATTATTTATATTTCAAGTATACATTAAGTGCATACACTATTTTACATATGTAGTATATAAAAATACATTGGTCTCAAGGAAAGCTATTAGACTGACCTGCTAATTTAGATAGTTTGCGGGCAAATACTGTGAAAGACAAAATAGGAATATAGATACGGAATTGAAGATTAAAGAATGAAAGTAGATCCAGGAACACAGATCAGCAGCAGAAATGAAAGCAGCAAGAGTAGATTCTTATTTGAAAGTGTTTTAAGCCAAAGATGGAGGAGTTTTACTAGAAGCAATTATAAGATCAAATAAGACCATCATTATTTTTATTTTTACTTTAAATATTAAGAAGCAAGGGTCATGAAAGTAGAAATAGTGCAAGCAGAAAAGAGAGAAACAGACTAATTTGATGGAACAAGATTCTTGAAGAAATAGGTAATTCTGGGACAATGGCTCAGGGTAAGCCGTGAGAAAAAGCTGAAAATTGGTTCTGCATTTGGATTTACTGAAAAGCATGCTGAGCTGAGGAGAATTAATTGTGGGAATTTGTGATGGATAGTCTCAGCCTTCTTAAGGTAGTTGGGCCCAAGATCAGCTGCTTAAAGTGGAATGAGTTTGTGTGTTTGGAGGGAGAGAATACTTAAGCCTTGTGACAGCCCCTGTAAAGAATGGAGTGAGATTCAGTTAAGAATAAATTAATTTCCAGAGTACATTCAGAGCTCAACTGAACTTAAGCAACATGAATTTATAGTAAAGTTTGTCCACTCAGAAAAGATTCCTTAGTAGCTCCAGATTTGTTATTTGATACTAAAGTTAAAAAAAAAAAAAAAAAACAACAATTTCGATGGGAATTAAAGAAAATGCAATGTTTTTCCCAACAAACACTCTAGTTGGTCATGGGGACCACTGGAGGTTTGCAGTTTTGCTGAGACAGCAAAACACTCCTTTCTCTATTTATCTTCTCTTTGTTTCTGTTGGGTTATGGATGCTCATGAATTAAGAGTCAAAAATGTCTAACATTGACTCCTGAAATCAAATCAAGAATGCGCTCAGTTTCAGATTTCTCAAGAGTAACTTACGTCTGAATATAGATGGAAATAAATTCACTTACAATGAAAAAAGGGGTGACTTCTCGATCAACTATGGATGTTATATTAATTTCCCCGGTTTTTTGATTAATGATGAAGATTCCATAAGGTGGCTGATCAATTCCTACTCCAGAGATGCGGTATGTTACTTGCTGGTTTGCAGCACAGTCTGAGTGAATCTGCAGAAAGAACACAATTGCAAACATCACAGAGAGCAAATAAAGAGTTCTGCATTTGGGGCGTGACGGCTGTTTTTTGTGAGAATTGGTGAAAGTGCTGTACCTATTGTCACCTGGGAAATGTTGAAAATAAGAAACTACTTTCCTAGGTAAGTATAATAATTATAGTATTTCCAGCGGTAATTGTATAACTAGTATTTTCAATGGTAGCTATCAAACAAGAAAAATAATACCACCCTCGGAAATTTAAGTCTATGCAGTCATCACTCTTTTATTCAACATTTATAATTTCATCTTGTATTATTTGCACACTTTGTGCTAGTCTTGGATCCAGAATAGGGAATACCTTGTCCTCTAAAGGACTTTACTAATGTTGTCATAATTTAACTCTGATCTTTAGATTCAAGAATTTCTTTTTTTAATTTATTTTTATTTAGTAAATACAAATTTTCAAAGTACAGTTAATAGATTACAATGGCTTTTTCCCCCCATAACTTCCCTCCCACTCATACCCCTCCCATCTCCCGCTCCCTCTCCCATTCCATTCACATCAAGATTCATTTTCAATTATCTTTATATGCAGAAGATCAATTCAGTATATATTAAGTAAAGATTTCATCAGTTTGCACCCACACAGAAACACAAAGTGCAAAATACTGTTTCAGTACTAGTTATAGCATTACTTCACATTGGACAACACGCTAAGGACAGATCCCACATGAGAAGTAAGTTCACAGTGACTCCTGTTGTTGACTTAACAATTTGACACTCTTGTTTATGGCGTCAGTAATCTCCCTAGGCTCTAGTCATGTGTTGCCAAGGCTATGAAAGCCTCTTGAGTTTGCTGACTTCGATCTTACTCTGACAGGGTCATAGTCGAAGTGGAAGTTCTCTCCTCCCTTCAGAGAAAGGTACCTCCTTCTTTGATGGCCCCGTTCTTTCCACTGGGATCTCACTTGCAGAGATCTTCCATTTAGGTCTTTTTTTTTTTTTTTTTTTTCCAGGGTGTCTTGGCTTTCCATGCCTAAAATACTTTCATGGGCTCTTCAGCCATATCCGAATGCCTTAAGGGCTGATTCTGAGGCCAGTGTGCTGTTTAGGACATCTGCCATTCTATGAGTCTACTGTGTATCCTGCTTCCCATGATGGATCGTTCTCTCCCTTTTTGATTCTATCAGCTAGTATTAGCAGACACTAGACTTGTTTGTGTGATCCCTTTGACTCTTAGACCTATCAGTGCGATCAATTGTGAACTGAAATTGATCACTTGGACTAGTGAGATGGCATTGGTACATGCCACCTTGATGGGATTGTATTGGGATCCCCTGGCATGATTCTAACTCCACCATTTGGGGCAAGTCCGACTAAGCATGTCCCAAATTGTACATCTCCTCCCTCTCTTATTCCCACTCTTATATTTAACAGGGATCACTTTTCAGTTAAAATTTAAACACCTAAGAATAATTGTGTGTAATAGATTCAAGAATTTCTAAACAATTTTTTAGCAGAAAGTTTTAAGTATATTTATGTAGATAACATGAAATATCTGTGTATAGAAGCTCTTAACTCTGAAAATGAGGAAGATGTATAAGCAAAAAATGGAAGACCATTCAAATAAATGGTTTTGGAAACCATGGCCCTTTCTTTGAAATAAGAAACTGTTCACTGTAAGAAAATCTTACTGAAGAGTCTCCATGCATATCTGTGTGAATTTGTGATTATATTTGTGTGTACCTGTGTAAATAAATCTCTGTGTGCAAATCTATGTGTGGAGGTATGTTCCTGAGTGTATGTGTATGTAGAAAAAAAGATAAGGGAAAATGAAATGAAAAGGCTTACAAAAGTGGTACATTGTGAGTTTTTATAACAAGTACAAGGGCAAGAATCGGATTCCAGTAGTTGTGGGGCAGAAAGAGCACAGGTTTAAGTAGATCCGCTGAATCCGCTGAATGCCAGGGTCACCACTGGAGTCATTGCACTCTCCTTTCCACTTAGACTTCACGGAACCACAGGATGGTAGGTACTAATTTCACCAGTGAGAGGAGTCAATTTTAACTGAGTTCCTTTTTCATTTAAAAGGTTTATTTATTTGCTTATTTTTATTTGAATGGCAAAGAGACAGAGAAGGAGACAGAGATAGGAAGAAATCTTCCATCTGTTGGTTCATTTCCCAAATGCTCACAATAGCTAGGTCTGGGCCATGCTTAAGCCAGAAGCCTGAAACTCAGTTCAGGTCTCCCAACTCAGTGGCAGGTACCCTATACTTGAGTTCTCATCTACTGCCTCCCAGGTACGCATTAACAGGAACTTGGAATTGGAAGTGGAACTGAGACTTGAATCCAGGCATTCCAACACAAGATGGGGATGTTTGACGTGGCATCTGCACTGGTGCACAAAACGCTGTGCCTAAATTTCTTAATTTACCTATTTAGGAGCTTCAGCTTCGTAATCTGGATCACTGGATCAGCATCATATTGTATTTTATGGCATGAAGTCTCCATGAGATATGTTTATATACCCCTTAGGAGAATTTCCTTTGAAACTTTAACAGCAACAATTCTTTTTTTCTTTTTCTTTATATAAGTGAACAAATTTCATGTATTACATTCAATTTTTTTTATTTGACAGATAGTTAGACAGTGAGAGAGAGAGAGAGAAAGGTCTTCCTTCCATTGGTTCACCCCCCAAAATAGCTGCTATGGCAGGAGCTATGCCGATCCGAAGCCAGGAGCCAGGTGCTTCTTCCTGGTCTCTAATGCGGGTGCAGGGGCCCAAGCACTTGGGCCATCCTCCACTACCTTCCTGGGCCACAGCAGAGAGCTGGACTGGAAGAGGAGCAACCGGGACTAGAACCCGGGGCCTATATGGGATGCCAGCGCCGCAGGCAGAGGATTAACCAAGTGAGCCATGGCGCTGGCCCCTATATTCAGTTTTTTTTAAACTTATTTATTTATTTGGAAGTTAGAATTACACAGAAAGAAGGAGAGGAAGAGAGAGAGAGAGAGAGAGAGAGATAGAGAGATTCCATCTGTTGGTTCACTCCCCAGATGTCCCCAGCAGTCAGGGCTGGGCCAGGCTGAAGCAAGGAGCCAGGAACTTCAAGGTCTTCTACGTGGGAGGCAGGGGCCCAAACACTTCAGCCACTGCTTTTCGCAGGCCATTAGCAAGGAGCTGGATTGGAAGTGGAACAGCTGGGATGTGAACCAGTGCCCCTACAGGATGCTGGCATCCCAGGGGCAGCTTAACCACAATGTGGGCCATAAACAGTAGAGCATAATGACACTTTCCACCCTACCCTCCCTCATCCTCCTCCTTTTCTTATTTTTCTTTTAATTTTTACAATGAGATACTTTCAATTTACTTTAGAATCTCAAGCTTAACCCTCCACTAAATACAGAATTCAACAAGTAGTAAGTTGGAAAACCACTGTTCCTCAAGAGTATAGACAAGGGCTATAAACAATAATCAAACCTCAAAATGCCAGTTTCATTCATATACATTACTTTTTTGTACTTTGTAAATTAGTTATTACAAATCATGGAAAACAATGAAAATCGTTTTTATGTTATGCTTAGGCATACTCACTTTGGCAATTGGGTTTCTCTTCGAGTTGTCCTCACCTTCACGACAGGCTGCGGCAAACTTGATCCATTCACGCTTTTGTCTTCTGATTGAATGCCACTTGATGGTGCCATTTTTAGTGTTGTAATCTCTCACCTGGAGTGGGTAGGATAAAGTGTCATTTACTTTTATTCACAATTAATATTTCATGGGCAGTTTTGGAGGAGGGGTAATTACAATGTCAGAAAGAAAGGATGTTTTATTGGGAAAATTGGTAATTTTGATAACCTATTAATATTAGTATTACACTAACTCTACTCAAAGAATATGTGATTATTCTCAAAAACATTGTCTTATTTTTAGATTTGGAAAAAAGTGGACTTGTTATATATTACCTGGATTCGAAATTCACAATTAACTTCCACCACCACCTACAAAAATAAGATAATTATGAGTTAAGTTTAAATAGATTGCTTTAAAATTCATATTATTCAATCATTTCAAAAAATCAAACAGTAGTCTTGTGAGTCATTATTTTCTCAGTCTGGGGAGCAGGTGGATCTGATTTGCCTCTTAGGTCTAATTTTTCCCTTTTAATTTTACTCATCTTTGTATTTCTTTCGATCTTTTTTTCTTCATTCTTGGTCTAATCAAACACTCATAATTACATGGACAGGGTATTGTAAACCAGAACACAATGGGTTGAAGATTGGAAACCCTAGACAAATTGCTGAGTACCCTACTTCCATTAGTCTGTTCTTCTCCATTAAATAATCTCCCTATTCAAACAAATCTGTCAGAATCTGCCTTGTTTCAGCTGACCTTGACCTTCACATATGATTTGCGGCTGGGAAAAAGACAAAACAAAACAGGTACTTAACTTTATTTTTCTCTAAAAACCACAGGCATTTCTGAAAACAGAGACACTCATATATCAAGTTTCATATACTCATACATTTGTTCAAGATATTATAAAATGTATATTTAAGAAGCAAGGTGTGGATTTGAAATCTAATTTGCATGTATTAATTTTTAAATTGCACTTAGAATCAATTAGAGATGGCGGATATCCTTAGTTTTTATTCCTCTCTGAGAACTGTTCAGTTTCTAATCGATTTTTTTCAGAAATACAAAGTATGCAAACTGTGTGCACAAACAACCTTCATCTGCTTCACTGATATAAGGAAAGTATAGGCAGCATTTAAAAAATCCTAGCAATAATAATGCAAAAATATCATGTATTAATTTTTAGTGGTTTCATTTTTACCTTTAAAGAAAATTTCAATCTCCAAATTCCACATTTTTAAAAATTGTCATGGTTGGTAATTCAAGGAAACATGGGTTAAAAGGAGTTGCATTAAGAGAAATGTATTTGTTATAAAAATCATTTACCCAAGATGTGAAGTTAATCATTATGATCATCACTGTAAAAATTCACTGAATGATGCTAAGCAATGTGTTTAGAGAAATCAATGCAGTTAATCTTCACAATAGATACATCTGAGCAGAACTTATTATTGCTGTTATTATTTGACCAATACTTATTACTATTATTATCTCCATTTAACAAGTAAGGAAGTTGAGGCTTGGATACTAATTTATGATTAAATCCACTCCAATGCGATTCAGCCTGAGCTGGTGCTTGGGCTGTGGGTTCTACAATACAGTGTGGGAGAGTCTGTTCTCTGAAGGAAATTACGAATTAGCATGCTACAAAGAATTGAAATTACAACTTTGAGTTTAATTTCAGCTGAATCTCCTATTATCCTTGTGTTTGGTAATACAACAACAACAGTAAAACAAAATGGAAAGAAAGAAAGGAAAATTGTGCAAATGGTTAGGAAATGTCACTGAAATTATCTGGAGAGTCCATCTGAAGTGCAGGGTTGAAATGGTGTTGATGTAAATGCACAATTTTTGCTACCTGTGAATATATGAACACTTTTCCCTCTTATTTGTGGTATTGCGCCGGAGATGTGGAAAAACCTTATTTGTCTACTCAGAAGTAATTTCTCTATAGTTACCGCCTGTGTACGCGTCTGTTATCTGTTGTTGCTCTTCCCTTACCACAGTGAACTGCCAGTGCCTGCTGTTTGTTTTGGATAATGATGCTGATGACTAAGACGCCTCTCTGGCTTTATGAAGCTGGGTCATTCTTTTTCCCATGAGAGGCAACTTAGGCAGAAGCCCAAGTAGGTTTCACCATAGTGTCAGACTCTCAATTTGGATGAGTAATTAGAAAACTGCCAAGTCTGCTTAAAAATGTGGGGGTTGATCTAAGCTTATTTTCCTTTGCTCAGAGTCTAGAATAAACTCTGAAGCAAAGCTACTGTCAAAGCAAAATAATGGAACAACAAGAGTACTGAGTAGAGTCAGAAAACCTTGAATATATTTCCCTTGTCTTCTGGGCTTTAGTCTTCTCATTATAAAACAGCAGGAGTTGACGAGATAATATATAGGTACGTTTTAGTTCTAAAAACAAATTCCTGTATGCAGTAGGAAAATACTGAGGCATTTCAACCATGGGAAAGATACAATAAAAATTGTGGGTTTAGAAGACTTCACTGACAGCAGTTGGAAGAGGTGGTGAGAAGAGACAGCAATTAGAGGCTGTGACCAACTGAGAATCTTCTGGGCTAAATCAGGCTGCAGGGGAGGAGGTGCTAACCTGAGGAGTTAAGCCAGAGCAGAGGCAGTGGGAACGATTCGGAGACAGACAGTGCATGGGCAGAACTTACAGGGCTTGAGGAGGGTGGGATGTGGGAGTCAGGAGAGGGAGGAGCCTCAGGAGACGGCAGTTTAAAACCGTGGGACTGGGAGCAAGCAGAAGTAGAACTTAGCAAGTTAGAACACATTGAGTTTCAGATGCCAGAGAGGCGCCCAGGTAAAATGCTTAGCAATTTGAGATATGCACCAGCACTTTGAACAGGCTAGATATGTAGATCTGAGATTTGAGATTTGAGATCTGTTCAGGCAGGATAGTGGAAATCATGGGAGAAGCTGAAGTTCCTAAAGTAGAAGTTATAGCCTTTGGCTGAGGATGAAACCAGGGGGAATTCCTGCTTTTATATAACTGGGAACAAGGACAACAAATAAGCAGCAGCAGAGGACTGGCCAAAGAAACAGGAGGAAAATATAAGGCATTTTAATGGATGTTAAATGAAGGGGAAATTGAAGGACGGATGGGTTGAATGAGTGTCAGGTGATATTAACAAAGCTGAGCACAGTGAATCCTGAGGAAATTCTGAGGTTTTCAGTGGCTTCCAAGAGAATAGTCTTGGTTAAATGGAACAAGCACTTATCTGACAGAGCAGAATTAGGGCCTGCAATGGAGGGAAGGAAGACATAGGTTGGACACATCAAGAAAGACAAGATAGTAGAACCAGATGTAGTGCTCAAGGACATCTTATGGGAGAGGAAGATTTTTGACAGTTGAGAAAGAATAGAGAAAGGGGTTTTGATCCTAAAGCAAAGAGATTCATAAATCAGATGCTGGGGCTAGTTTTGTGGCGTAGTGGATAAAGCCGCTGCCTGCAACACTGGCATCCCACATGGGAGCTGGTTCATGTCCCAGCTGTTCCACTTCCAAATCCAGCTTCCTGCTAATGGTCTGGGAAAAGCGGTAGAAAATGGCCCAAGTGTTTTGTGCCTTCTATCCATGGGGGAGATATGGATGAAGCTCTTGACTTCTTGCATTAGCCTGGCCCAGCCCTGGCCATTGAGGCCATCTGGGGAGTGAACTAGTGGATGGAAGATCTCTCTCTGTCTCTGTCTCTTCTCTCTCTGTAGCTCTGACTTTCAAATAAATAAATAAATCTTTAGAAAAAGAAATCAGATGCTTACTAGAGATGTTGTGATGGAGAGAGCAGGAGGGGATAGACAAAACGAAAGGACTTGGAAGACAGAAGATAAGGACAAGAGAAGGGTAGAGATTAAAATCAATCAATTAGGAAAAGAAAGTTGAAGGACTTTGTCATGAATGACCAAGACCTTGTCCCTAGAGTAAGGGTGAGGTTGTTTTCCAAGCATTAGAGGAGTACTTTGGATTTTGAAATATGTCTGGAGTCCATGCCATGGGAGTTGTGATGAAGACACACTTAGCGATGAACACAGGTCATCAAGCTGACTGAGGTTAGCTCAGCTCCTGGCCTACTGGATATGCGCACAGAGTAAGTTACTTAGCCAGGCTGTGCTTCAATTTCCTCATCTGAATGTGACACTAAAGCCCTTTTCAACCTAAAATTCTATGAAAGAGGTGACTAATTCACTTGCAGTGCACCCTCAATGAGTCCTCCCTTCATCTCTGTTTTAGGAGCCCATCTATTATTTTTTAAAGCGTCAGGATATGAAATAATATACTAATTTTAATAATTTCCTAACTGCAGCCAGTTTTAGTGATTTTTTTTAAAAAATCATGATTATACTTGTTTACATATAACAAAAATGAGTTTGAGGATAATAAGTAGTTTTTAAAAAAATATTTATTTATTTGAAAGTCAGAGTTACAGAGGGAGAGAGAGAGAGACAGAGAGAGACAGTGGAAAGAGAGAGATATATATAGAGAGAGATCTTCTATCCACTGGTTCACAATGTCTGGGGCTGGGCCAGGCTGAAGCCAGGAGCCAGGAGCTTCTTCTGCATCTCCCATGTGGGTGGCAGGGGCCTAAGCACTTGAGTTATCTTCCGCTGCTCCCCAGAGAGCTGAATCAGAAGTGGAGCAGCCAGGATCAAAAACGGGTACCCAATGGGATGCTGGCGCTGCAGACACAGATTAACTCTCTGAGCCACAGTGCCAGTCCCAATAAGTAATTTTAATAAGGAAAATCTCATTCATTTACTAACTGTGAAGTGACTTTCACAGTTACTTGTTTTTCTTGAGCATTAAGTTCTGATGTGTTAATTTTACATACGTCACAAGGAAGCACTAGAACAAAGCTAAGATATAATAATTTGCTCCTCTGAAAAATCATTTTTCTTTTGTATTGCTCTGACAAAAGGTCTTAGTCTGAGGTCAACACCTCCTCACTGTGTTGTTTCTCTTGTTATTCATTGGTTCATTTCTTTAACAAATACATATTGAATGTGTATTATGTGGGGGCTGACTTAAGACTTTAAGGGGCCAAAACTCTAAAAATATTATGATAAACTTTAGATGAAGCATGAAATAAATACACCACTACTCCATAAATATGCTGGTGAGACCCAACATGATGGTTTCCATATTTAATACCTTGATAATTTTTGGAGTGTATGGGAGAAGAGAAATGCAAAATGTTCTAAAAATTATCTTGCGGTTTCTCTGCTTTGTGTGATCAAATATCTATTGAACAATCTTGTGCTGGTGCAAGGTGCTATGAGGGATACAGAAGTGAATCAGCCATAGAACTTGCCTTCAAATAACTTACAATCAAGGAGGTTTGTGGGCAGGCAGCTGCTAATTTCTGCAAATACAATTTCTCATTAGGCAAGTGGGCTCTATTCTCCTAGGCCAATTAAGAGCATGGATCAGCAGCCAATGGCTTTAAAACAATCTGACCTGCCCAAATGCATTAAAGAAAATTGCATGCCAAGCATAACCAGTGAGGGTGGCATGACCCAGCACTCTGCCAGGGTGTTCCCCCAGCTGAGGGAGCACAATTAATTTTACTGCAGAGTCAAGCAGAACAGGCTTCCTGCTCATACCTTAAGCAATGCCTGTTAGGACACAGGGATACTTAGCAACCCCTTTCTTCATAAATGTGGAGTGGGGAAAGAGTGAACAGAAATTAAGAGCTCTGAGTATAGACAGGAATGTCAGTTTTCCAGATCTGTAAGATTTATTCAACAGGTGAATTTGTGCCATAGGAGCGAGCCTTCAGAATTATAAAGACAGCATTTACCAATGCTTTCGTTTTCTTATTACGTGCGATAAAGCTGGCAAAATGTTTGCATTCTGCAGCAACTCAAACCGCAGACTGATGACAAATTTGTGCTGTTATTCTAAAAATGAATGAAGATTTTGACCCTAAATCTGCAGTGACATAACAAAGCTTTTATAAACACCACGTTGGTGGAAACTATTGTCCTTAAGAACTATTTGTTTCCTTGAACAGGAGAACAGAAATACTGCTCTCACTTTCTTTAAAATATTTTACTGAAGTACTAAATCTCTGTAATGCTTATCACTATAATACATGCACAAGGAAACATGAATAGCACTCTCGTTGGCTTGTCTTCTTTTGTCTGTACTAATTCGTTCATCCTATTCTTGCTTTGGGTGACTGTGAACATAATCACGAAAACTTAAGATGCCTGGTTCCAATAAGTTTATGAATTAGGTCATCAAATGTGTTTTGTTTTCTGTGTATTTTAGTCTGGTGCAAAGAAATATTTTGAAAATCTCCACCTGGTATTTTAAAGAGTTAATTTATTAGGTAGTCAGTTTTTTTTAATGAAATACTAAACCATAGAAAGTGGAAAAGTTACTAAGATGATGAATTGAAGAAATCATCATTTGTGGTAACACAAGGACACCGTTTTCTCTATTCTATGAGCTTAAGCTGAAGTAGTTTGCCTTTATTGAGAAAAGCATCTTCAGATTTGTATTGATTTTAATAGCTTCACTGGACCTGGCAAAGTTGCAAGTAATTTTCAGAAATCGTCGGAACTATGGAAATTACACCGTTCTCTTAACCCCCACCTCCTGCCACCCTCACAGTGTCTGTGCCACACTGTTTACCATTGCAACATCATCCACTCGAATTTCTTATAGTTGGGGCAGAGATAACCTTTTTCCCTCTGGCCTATAGACAATGCATTCTAAGTCTTCATTCCACTTCATACACTGGTTTTAATGGGAGCAAAAACAAACAAACAAATTTAAAAAACCCAAAAACAACAAATGTAGAGTCAATAAAGTGTATTTGGCTTGCACTGGCATTGCTGGTGTGAACTATTGTCTGTCCTGGAAACTTGTCTGAATAATGAAATAGTCACACAGCCAACTTGGTCACTTTAAAAGCTTCTCCTCCACTTTATTCTCTCTGATCTAGCCCACTAATTTGAACAAGATCTAAAATTTCCACATATGTTGAGCAGATCACAATATGCTTGTAAGTATAACTTCCCACTTTTAAGTGAATTTTCATTAAAAATACTACTGTTTCAAATGTCTTAAAAGTCTTCACATTGTCCAGATTGGCTTCCTGATATGCACTTTCACTGACTGATTTCAAGCAGAAAACAATATGTTTTATATAATTTTTTTTGGTAATGGCAAACATTCACAGTAGGCTAATGAAAGGAAATTAGAAGCATTTTCTACAGTGGTTGTTGTGCTTAGGAAATAAAAATTTAAAGCCAAATCCAGATTAGATAATGCCAATGGGCAATTACTACAATCATCTGGTAAAATTGGTACTAAAAATACTTATCTTCAAAACGTGAGAAAGTGAAATGAAAAAAGGATGTCAATGAGAAAATAAGATATTTAAAATCATGATAGTCTAACTCCTTTGAGAAATAATTTTTATAAGGCATTTGAGAAACTTTCTGTTGATTCTAAAGTAAAATACTGCTAACTACTTCTTCCCCCAAATGACCTCACAAACAAGCTATCCGGTTTCAGAAAATAAAGCAAAAATAGAAATCTCTCTTCAAAAAGAGAAAGTTCAATAAGGGTATGTATACAGTTTTGATAAAATGATACATTTTTATTGAAGAATGACTAAGAAGTGGCTGTTTCAAGGAATTTTATAGGGTATACTTAATTAGAAGTAATCATATAAATTAAGAAAGAAAGCATATCTCAGAGATTCACTGGAAGTTAGTGCACAGGCATCAGGGCAAACTTTAACCAGCTGGAACTATAAAAGGCCCTCATGGATCAACTTGATATGAAATTAAGATTATTTGACAATTCCCAAATATGCTCAATTGACACATTGTGTAGTGGTCATTGATTCTTGCTTTATCTCGTTCTGATCACACCTGACCATAAAAATTCCTTAAAATGTCTGTAAAAAGGGACTAATGTTTGAAGCATGTTTGAAACTAAAGTTGTCAACCTATTGATGCTCATTCATAACTAACTCCACTGGTTATGACCCCCCTCTTGATTAATATACTGAATTCAAACTAACAAGCATACCTTAAATCAAAGATCTGACTTGTTACTACACAAGCCCAACATTCCAGTTCAAAAACTAAGCAAGTAGAAACAAATATGAGCCAACGATGTGCCAAGGTAGAGGATGAGTTACCTGGCACCTGCCTATCTGAACTACTTTAACCTGACTGTGAGACACTATACGATTTTAAAATGTTTGCCGAAAGTAAAAATGAGAGAATATGTTGATGTTGCACTTTCTATAAAAGAGAAAACTAATGACATATGGAGGGATGGGAATAAGACATTTCATTACATTCATTTGACCATCAAATATTCAACTTTTGTGTCACCATTATTACTGACTTTCCAGTAGTAAGAACAAGTATTGTGATAGTTATACTCCTTAATTATAACCATTCATTCATTCATTCATTCATATAATTTAAAAATCTCCTGTACCACCGTTTTTCTTTGCAATTAAAAATATTGTTTCAACTCAGATCATTGTTTAACAGTGTGGGCTTCTGATCATACTATGGATCCCAGCCACACATGGAACTCATGAGATTAATTGACTCACAAGTCCAATCACAAATTGCTAGGAGTTTTATTTATATGGATCCTGATGTTATGTTTTAAAAACCATAATGACTCTGCCAACAAAGACACCAAAAGAATGGAAAAATGCTTAGGTTAAGAATCAGGACACATGCACAATATTTCATTCAAAAGCCCACCGGCAAAAGACACTTTGAGCAACAAAGTGCTATGGATTTCCGGAATCCAGTATTTTCCCAGCATGACTTAGCAATGACTTCAATGTTGGAGATGCGAGACAATGAGTGGACACTGATGTATTATATGATTGAGAGTATTCAATTAAAGAGAGAAACGCTTTCAAAAATCAAGTTCATAAAATCATCTTGTCATTATCATAAACTTTCAATAGGTTTAGAGCACAACCACTACTAAACAGCATGGTCTCAGAAGCTTTCCCTTGTTTACAATGAGGATGATTGGGAAGGGTTTTTAACAGAATCCACTCACCAGGAAGATGAGCAGCACGGCAGCTGTTCTGAGGGAGTGCCAGTCCATGGCTGCTGCTGGCTTCTCTTACATCCAAGACCAAGGGAGTTTTGTTTGTTCTTCTCTGTTCTTTCTCTTTCCCCTACTCAGGTGGTGTCTGATTAAAATAATTTCTCAGTAGATGTTCTTACATGCAGGCTTTGAGGTGTTTCTGCCTTCCTCTGGGAGAAGGACTGAAGGTACGTATAACCAGTCCGGATCCCCACCCTAAAAACTTGGGCTGGTCTCACTGAAATGCTTGACAAGATCATCATTGCTCCCAGGTAAAAGCGTAGGGACACACCCTTCTTCCAGATGAATGGCTGCTCTCCATGGAGCAAGGACGATTCACTCCTTTCCTGTAGGGTTCCAGTGGCAGGCACTTAAAAGGCACAAAAATATGGGGGGTTAATCAAGGGATAGGGGTTTCTCTTATTATGCTTTATTTATAGGTTGTGTAGCTTTTCCTCCTATTAAAAGGGCAAATATACTTAGGGTGCTCATAGTAGAGAATTATTTAGCCCATGTTCATAGCCAAACCCTCAGGTCACATTAGAAAGTTATAAAACTTCCATTTCAGTAGATGTTGGGAAATATTCAGTTATTTTCTAAGTTGTTAAGAGTCAGAAAATTTGCTGATGTTGCGAGTGAGAAGTTGTGTCTTTAAAGCATTAAGTCAAACAAGCGAAACTGTGATACTTACAATTATTAGGTCTTCTGCCTAAATCACACTTCCTTTAAGTGACCAGCCTAATCCAGGGAACCTTCATTTTCTCTCTGAATGAGTATTTTCTCTCTTGTATTATCTTTCTCTTGTCAAGATTTCACATGTAGTAAAACAAAATTTAAAATATCTCTAAGCTAGATGAAAAGTAAACAATGAAAACCACCAATTAAAATCCTGTTGATAATTTTAAAAACAAGGTTCAGTGCCTGAAATACTAATGTAGACACAGAAAGCTGCTCTTCAGGTGAGGTGGGTTAAAAGGCAACGATCGTTGCCAAACCAGAGCCAAGAGTCTGTAGAGTGAGCCAATTAGAACATGGGAATATGCCGAAGAGCTGGCTGCCCACACATGCAAATAGGAAAATGAACGCAGCCGTGAGGTTTGTGTAAACAAATAGTGACCCTCACAAGGAACTGTTCAAACATGTTCTCTTCACTTGTCAATGTCTAGTTTAAATATTATGAGTGACAGGAAACCTATAGATGTTGCATGCCTTCGGAGATTAAAATTGCAGTCTGGAACAAGAGACTTAAATAATAAGATGTTGATTATGGTCAAATTAGGTCTTTTTATGGGTTTTGTACCTGCCATGTAATTGAGTGTCAATCTAATTGTTAAAGGTTTTTTATTTTTTCTCTTCAAAATTGTACTTAAAAACCCCAGTGCTACCGGGTTCTTTGGGTTCTTTCCTCTCTTGGAAGCCCCCCGATGAATCTTTTTAAATCTAAAAAAAAAAAAAAAAAGGTTGTTAAAAATGTTCCCCAAAGGAATAATCTCTCTGAGGGTCAGAGAGTCTACAGAACTCTGTAATTTACTACTTCTGTGAAGCAAAAAGATTACTCGCCAGTGGTTAGAAATTTCATGCTCTTCGCCATGCACTAAAAAGGGAAGGAGCTAGATACTTACACTAACTTGCAGTAAATAAGAATTCTCATGATAGGATTTGACTGGGGTGAGTAAATAAGAAAAAAGGAGATGGGCAGGCCAATTTTTTGTTAGTCCAGTTAGAGTGAATGCTGAGCTAAGACTTAGTCTGAGCAATATGTCAGTAGGAGGATTGTACGGCCATGAATGACAAAAGACTCAATAGGCACCAGAGATGAAAAGACCTACTTTTGAAGCTTTCAGTGGCAAGTGAAGGCCTTGTCTGCCTTGGTTCTGAGCATGAGGCTAGAGTGTGCACACATCCTCAGAATTCACTGACTTATCCTTCCCTAAATGGATCACTGGCTCCACCCCTGACTCATGCCCTGTTTTAACAACTCTAGCCAGCTAGAGGATTCATGAAATAGCAATCTCTTCAGCAGCTGTCTTAGAGAGGAGGTGTGACAAAGCCCCACTGTTGCAGAGCACTGCTCTCTTGACAGCCACATGGGAGCTGGTGAGGTTAAGCACAATGGAATAGAGTTTATAAATCATTATGCTTCCTCCTCTGCCTCTGTCCTTGTCTTTTTCTCTTTCTTAGAATAGTGTTGTTCAATGGAAATTTCTGTAATGTAAGAATGGTCTCTGTTTATCCTGTCCAGTATGGTAGCCACTTACCATGTGTGTTTGTTGAGCATTTGAAATGTGACTGTTTTGACTGAAAACTGAGTTTTACACTTTAATTAGTTTAGGCTAATTTAAACTTAAGTAATACATTTGACTAGTGCCTCCCTTATTGGACAGAGGAGTTAAAACATCATTGCTTTTATTATCTTCTATCTTATTCTAAGCCTAAAATGCTTATGACCCAATTCCCTTTAATTAAATATACCCTAGTTCTTTTCTTAACTTGGGGAACTCTGTTTCAGTTTCCAATTATCACCTTTTAATTCCATTTCTTTTAATGTGATCCTATTATCTGTTGACCTAGTCCCTTTTTCTAATTCTTCACTGATTCTCTTTCCTAAAGACGAAGAGTTAAGACATTTTAAAGCTTAGGCAACACAAACCTCTCTCATTTCCATATTCATGTTTTCTCAGTTCCTTCTTCTAGCCACCTCATCTGTAAAGTAACCTCATATTACGCTTTTGCATGGCCATATTATGCCAGCTGCTTTTTCTATGGAGTCTCAATACACCCAATTTCTACCCTGAACATTGTTTAGTATGTGTACTTCTCATACACATGAACAGTACTCACTCCATGGGAATTTTATGAAATTTGGGGCAATTTTTCTGTCTGGAATTTCCCTAGCGAGCTGACCAAGTTTCCTATATGAATCAAAATTCTCCTTGGGAGAGAATTTTCCTCTTTTCTAAGGCATACAGTGTCCAGAATGTCATCTCAGTGTCGGCATTCCTATGTTTGCTCTCAGCTTGAATGCTAAATGTCTTCTTGAAAAACAAAATAACCAGCATTGTTAACAAAGGTAATAGATTCTAGTGACCTAGAATTTCTTAAGCCTAATTATGGTAGCTGTTCTACTCACATTCTTTAGCTTGCATCAATATCACAGACTCCTATATTTCAGAGAAATTCTTTGAAGTATGTTTTTATGTTATGCATGAACCTGGTTTTTTATGTAAGTGTCCAAGTTGCCCTAATAAGCTCTATAAATTACTTAAAAATAAATAAAAGATATAAATAAATCTTAAAAATGACAAAGAAACTGAAGCAAATACATTAAGGATAACATACACAGAACATTCTGTGATTGCTTCTGTATTAATTTTCCTATGAGACTTATTAATTCCTGATCTTATTCACAGCTTTAAAATCAGAGTATTCCTCAGTGAGTCAATGTCACACACACAAATGTCTGGGAGGTGGGGACTGTTGTTCTACATTAAAAGAGACTTTATTTTAATATACAATAATCATGTGCAATTTTTAAAATAAGATTCATTTATTTGAAAGACAGAGAGAGAGAGAGAGACAGAGGGAGAGTCAAACAGATCTCTATCTGTTGGTTCATTCCCTGAATCTAAGCATTAATGGGCACTATACCAGACTTTTTCCAGGAGCCAGGAGCTCCATCCGAGACTACCACATGGGTGGCAGGAACCCAGGTGCTTTTGAGCCATGGTGTGCTACATCCCAGGTGCACTAGTAGGAAGCTGGATCACAAGCACAGAGTAGCTGGGATTCCAACCAGGCGTTCCAATATGGAAGTTGGGGCTTAACCCATTGTACCACAATTTACACCTCTGAAATGCACTGTGTGATTCTTAATTTTATGCCTGATTTGAATGAAAACAGCATTAGAAATAATTTTGGGTATATTGGGAGGAATTTCAATAGGAGTTATTAGAGAATCATTATAAATATTATTAGGCTATGTAATATAATGTCTTCATTTTTCCAGATATGTGCTATATTACAGAGGGACAAAATCTCATCAAGACAGAAATTCTCTCTATGATGATACAACAGTAAGACAGACAAAGTAAACATGGCAAAATGTTAACAACTGTTACATCAAATGACAGCATTTGGAATTCTCTCTGTTTTTCGGTTCATTTGAAAAATTTCATAATAAAAGTCAAAATAATGGATTAAAATAGGGATTGGTAAATTGTGACGATAAGTCACATGTGGCACATTGCCTGGTCTTAGCTATTTGTGAATTGGAACACAGCCATGCTAGCTTGCTTTTGGATTATCTGTAGCAGCTCTCACTGTGCTTCAGGGGAGCTGAGAGGCTCTGACAGACACCATGTGATCAGCAGAGCTTAACGTAATTATTTTTCTGGCTTCCTGCAGGAAAAGTTGGCCAACTCGTAGATTTGACAAATAGATCATAGATTGTAGCATAAAATATGACTCATTAGTAAAAGAGTTGATTTTAGGAGAATTCACAAGATTAATTTGAAGGATATGAACAGAAATCATGTGGACTGAAATAACCACTAAAATTCATTAATCACTGAGGAAAAAGACATCTTTACAATAAAATTGTAATTTTAATTTCAAATTTTCAGCTTTGGTTTAGTTGGCCGCAATAATATACAGCCTAACACTCCTTCCTTCCTTTTAAAGCAGATCTAAGTAAAACCTTAATTTTTCTCTAGTAAATTCTAGAATGAGAGTTCAACAAATTCCATCTTCATAAACTTTCTACATAGAAATTTTTTATCATTTTTATGATTATGAGTAAGTTTAAGATTAGGAGTAGGGGAAAATAGCAAATCATTTTGAAAACTTTGGACTTTATCTTAGTATTTCAGTATTTTATGAAAAATAAGAGTGGTAAAGCAGACTAAGCTCTTATTTCTTTTGCTTTAAAAAAATTAAACAATGATTTACAGTCACCTGCCTATTTTTGTATAACCAATGAGATAAGGTTTTTCTTTACAATTAAAAATAGTTTTAAAACTAATATTTTTGTATGACACATGAGATAAGAATTTTTTTTTTTTACATTTTAAAATAATATTTCCTGGAGCCAGCACTGTGGCGTAGTAGGCTAAGTCTCCACCTGCAGTGCCAGTAACCCATAATAGGTGCCCGTTTGTGTCCTGAATGCCCCTCTTCAGTCCTGCTCCCTGCTATGGCCTGTGAAAGCAGTAGAAGATGGCCCAAGTGTTTGGGGCCTGCACACAAGTGAGGGAGACCTGGAAGAAGCTCCTGGCTGCTGGCATCCGACCGGCTCGGTTCCGGCCTCTGTGGCCATTTGGGGAGTGAACTAGTGGATGGAAGACCTTTCTCTCTGTCTCTACCTCTCTATGTCTTTTAACTCTACCTCTCAAATAAATAAATATTTTAAAAAATATTTCATGACATAAGAAAATTATACCAAATTTAAACTCCAACATTCATAAAGTTTCTTAGAACATAAAAAGTAATATTCTTAATGGAGCAGTCATGAGTTCACCACTGCACTATACATTAGAATATTCAAATAATTTTGAACTTGGTTGAGGAAGTTATATCATAGCTGCAAGCATACTGTAACAGAAGTATTGCTACTCTTTTCTGGAATACTGGCCTGCTAATTCACTGATGTGCGTTAGCCATTGCCCCAGCGTATGTTTGAATTTCACAAGCAAGTTCAGTCTATCCTGTTTCTCCTAAAAAATTCTTGTGAGTTCAGCTCTATGATGTTTTGTCTTTGGCCTGCTTTGTGACTTGCACTGAAATAGGGATACAAGGAAAGGTGCAACACCACATGGTCCTAGACCACAAGTGACTCCAGGCTAGCTGGAATGAGAAAGATGCTTTCCCCAGTTGCTAACCGGAGCATGCACAA